CTTCTAAAGTAGAGAAGTGAAATCATGGGTTTCCTCCCTCCTTTAAAGCATCTTGCTCGCAGCGTCACTGTAAATGTCAGCAGAGAGTAAGAATCTGAGCGCCGTGCAGAATATATGAGGGAGGCTGATACACGATGACGTTGGACGGAGCCAATATTTGCAAGAGCATAAGCGGGTAGCAATAGAGTAAGACATATAGCACGAGGAAGGACAGGGGAAGTACAGAAAAAAGAGCGTAGAGGGGGGATGACGAGATGAGGGGAAGCACGAGCACGAGGGGTTCACACGCAGATAGGCGCTCGCACGTCGCCGCGGTTATCTCGGGTGACATTTATCAGCGCCACCTCGCCTTGCTGGTTGTCTCCACATTGTCTTGGGAGAACTCCATCATCCTCCTCTCACCCTCCTCCCTGCATCATCTCTCCATTCCCTGCACCCACACATCCATCCAGCCATTCAAATGTCCACCCAGGCTCGGAGTGACAGTGCCCGCAGATGATTGAAGCGGGGAGAGGGGACGCCGCGAGAGATAGAGTCGGAGGGGATGAAGGAGGGATGCAAGGACATCGCTGCTCGTGCTGCTGCATGTCGATGTAGTTGTGTCGGTGCACACACACACACACACACACACACACACGGATGAGATATATGCAAATTAGCAGCAGCACAACACAAGCAGGGGGTTGCTAAAAGGGGCCCAGCTCATTAACCCGGCAGTTTTGGGACAGGACGGATGAAATATTGAATTGCCAGCGTTTGTTTTGTTGGCTGGGTTGAAACAGAATGCTGCAGCTGTTGGGTGCAGATGATGAGGTCAGATTGCTCAGGGGCTGCTGCGAGCAAAGGGTCAAATGGTGGAACAAAGGTCAAAACAATCCTGTGTAGCTCATATGACATATAGAGGTTGTGGCAGAGGACGAAGCTGCTCTGTTGCACTGTTTCCTCTCCTCTTTCGCTCTCGTCTTCCAAAATTAATGAGACTTTCTCGCAGTCTTCCAGACAGGCAATACTGTAGGGGGGGTTGAGAACGGAGGCCAGCCCCTATTTCTTGCTCAGATTTTCCACTTTTTATTTCCCATCTGGTTCTTGTTTGTTGGACCCAGTATCTGGCGGAAAAAAAACGGATAACGATGTTTATTTTGGTGAAGAATTGTTCTGTTTTTTTGCTGTTTTTTGCACCTTGCAATTATTTTTTATCAGCAATTATCATGAGCTGTTTAGTGCACAACATGTCCAAGGTGACATCTTTGTGTAAAATAGTGGTGTCTGCATTTTTCTCCTTTGTCCGACATTTCAGTTACGCTGCAGTTGATCAAAAACCGACTTACTGGTGATGAAAATAGCTAAAGGTTGCACGACATTAGCCACGATCAGTCCGCATACAGTCCAGATAATGAGTCTGTGCTAGCATATCTGACATAAATCTGTGCTTTTTCTATTATTTCTGACACTTTAATAAAGGAAAATGTCTATTATACTTGGGTAGGTGAAACCCCAATTACCTCGACGGTGGCATCAGAATGAGGAAGAAACCTGGTGGCAGTCCGTCTCCAAAACCCAAAGGAACTGTTTTGCCTAATAAAGGACTTCAGCAATTGATTTTTAAAACTGATTAGCCAACTGATTATCTCGGCAGTAGCTGAGCTGAATGTGATTAGAGGATTCTGTGTCGTCCGTGTCAGGTATGATGCTGGGAGGAGGTTGCGGCAGAGAGCTGGCTCACTGGATCATACACGGCCGCCCCGAAAAGGACATGTACGGATACGACATCAGGTACGCGAACCCACACAAACATGCAAAAGGCCTCAGATTGGGAATTTCTATCCTCACAGTAACGATGATTTTTCCATGAAAATCTAAACGACTGTGACTTTTAATGAGCGTTCATTTGCTTGAATCCCTCTCCCCTCCTGTCTCAGGCGCTTTCATAACTCGCTGACAGACAACAAACGCTGGATCAGAGAGCGGAGCCACGAGTCGTATGCTAAAAACTACTCGGTGGTGTTCCCTTTTGATGAGCCGCTGGCCAGCCGAAACATGAGGAGGGACCCTTTCCATCAGGTAGATGAGTAGCTTGATCTGCGGTGCAGACGGTTAATCAACGCGTTTCATGAGGAGTTCAAGGAAATAACCCCTCGTGCGCTTTCTTTCCGCTGCGTCTTTCAACTGCGGTTTGATGAGTCATTTGTGAGTTATTTCGAGCAGCAGGATAACCAAGAAGAAAGGAACTGTGATTTTAAACTTTATGAAGGTAAAGCAGGTAGAGGCAACAATACGCGTTCATATTTTTCCTTGATCTGAAGCCTAATCTTGGCTTCGCTTGAGCACTTTTATCTCAGTAAGTTTGCTTACTGGGATAAAATGTGGGCAGTGTGATGCATCCCTCATGATTTAGACAAACATTGAAGCTGAACTTTCTGGACTCGTATCGGTGAGGCTTCCCAACATAGATGGAACCAGTTCACCTTTTCGAGTTGCAATTTTTTCTCCTCTCTCTCCTTCAGCTCTTCCCAATTTTCCTCTGTTTGTCTGACTACCCAGAACTCTCACACAAATCTCTCCCTCTTTCTCTCTTCACTCTCATTCTTGTCACAGTCTGCATGTTATGTGATAGAAAAAGAGGTTCTGCTCCTTGTTACCCTCTTTTAAACTCCGTAACCTCGGCGTCTGATTGGTCTATCGAGGCAGCGATGTGGCAACAGAACAAATCGAGTGACGCCGCCGAAAACTCCAGCTTGTCGAGTTTCCGTATGCGCGGAGACGCCGCCGAGAAGAATAGAGTGCACTTCAGAGACATGCGAGTGATTGCAAAGACGTCGTTTGTCAAACGCTGACCTCATCTCTCGCAGTGTGTTTATCTCTCTGTCACCCGCTCTCATTTCTTTTCTGTCAGCCTCAGTCTTCTCATCGCGTCAAATCTAAGAGGCAAATAGCTGATTCAGGCCCGGGCGGAAGGCAGTTAGCAGCGTAACTTATCCCCAGCAGCTACATTTATTAATGCGATCCCTGCCAACATGACTATAAATGATACACTTAGCTTCGGTAGCCTAGTCCCGGATGTCTTTCAGCTTCCTTTCTCCCCTTAGCCCGGCATAAACTCTTAATGGACCTCGCCGCCAAACTTTATACATTAATGATCCACTTAGACGTGCTTTCCTGTTCCAGACTTCATTGAACTGTTCCTGCCCTTCCTCGCGCGTAAAGGCGTTTCGTCGCAACGGATTACTGTCACGCAAATTCCATCAGCGATGTTGTTGATGCGTTTTGTCGCTCAAGTCTGGTGCTTTCTTAGAGCTTGTTTTATTTAACTTCTCTGACACCTTTTTGTATAATTAACCAGGTTTCCCAGAGGTCCTTTTCAAGATAACTTTTTTCTTTTTCTTAAAAGACTTTGGAAAGAAGCATGAAAACAAAGACATGAAGGAGCGCTAACTTTTTTTTTTAATGTTTTAGTGAACGGTTTGTCTCCTCAGCTTGAATTTCAATGATACTGTGAAGAAAACTTTCATTATTAATTTAGCTTCAGTAAGAAAAGAAGATTAATTAATTGAAAAAACACAATTCATGGTGCAAATACTGTAACTGCAGCAGCTCCTTTTGCTTGCTTACCTCAATCCTTTCCAGAGTTATTCTAATCAATACAAGACCTTGTAGTTTACTGTGATATATGATTATACTGCAGGATTCTCTCTCTGGTAGGGATAGTAGCATGAACACATCTGTATTAAAGAGCCCATGTTGTGCTTTTTTCCCTTCAGGGTGTCATATAGCTGCTTTTTTGTGCAAACTAAAGATCTCCAAACTTACAAAGTCCACACACATCAAAACAAAACAACATTTTAAATCCAGGCTTTTCTTCCGTTACCCATCTACATCACTGTGTAACATATTTGCATCACGCATGCTTAGCAACAGCGAATCAGCAGTTTCCTCACAGTCGGCCATTATTTCCTCACCAGAGCGACGTCTCTCACCTCCACTAGTAGATCTGTGGACACATAACCATCTCACTTTCATTGAGCTAGTTGACCAATCAGAGCAGGCTGGGCTTTTCAGGAGGGGGGGCTTTAAAGAGACAGGAGCTAAACTGAAGCGTTTCAGTCCGACGATGAAAAGAGGTGCTGCAACAATGCACAGTTATAGGAAAACTAAGGAATTTTTTGCACATTAAAGCATGTAAACATATTCTAGTAGAGCCCCAAAACTAAATTACAAACCTGTAAATGTGCATAATATGGGCTCTTTAAAATCTGTTTTAAACTGCTCTCCTCCTGTTTGTAAAATGCAAAGGTGCTGTCAATCTTAATTTATGACCCCAATGATTTACAAAGAGAGCTGTCTTAATATCAGTAACCGATGACGTGCACCTTCTTCTATTTTTAACCATAAAAGAGCGACATGTATTATAGCTAGAAGGCGCGTAAGGTTTCGATCAGCCAATGACGCCGTCCCTGTGCAAACAATGAGACCGTCTGCATTTAGGAGGCAATGCAGGATTATTTCAGAGCACAAGCAGGCCATCTCTGACACTGCTGCTCACACATTTTTCTCTACCTCGGTAGCACAGATGGTAAATATAGCTTGGTGTGGGAAGTTTTGGCAAGAGCCGCCTAGCTGCCTGCTAGGAGGAGAGCATTGCAGAACATACCTACCAACTGTGGGCGACTGTCAGTTTTAACAAGGAGGATGGCGAGCCTTGAAATATCTAAACCCTCCTCGAGAAATCAGGAATTAAGGACTGTACTATTTTTGTAGCAGCATGTGGTCAACCAATAGGGTTTGCCATCCCTTGTCATGGGCTCCTCTGTTGTTAGAGGAAGTTTTTAATATTACAGGCAGTTTGTTTTCTGCTCTTTGTGTCGAATTGTACTCGAAAATAACCATTATTTATAGGTTAAGAATGCATCGGATGATTGTGTGTAATGTGAACGGGGTTAGTTTGTAGTGAAGAAACCACAGAGAATTATCATCACAGTTCCTCTCAGCTCTGTAGGATGTTTTGGCGTCTTTTGGCTTATTGTGTTACTTTTACTTTACTGTGATACTGATTAAGTTTAAACCGTTAATATCTGCCTTTTAGGAAAAACCTCTGATAAGCCCAGTGTTTATTACCTACTCAGCAACAAATGACAAAAAGAAAAAGCCGGTGAACACTGTAGATTTCTTTTTCTCGGGAGATGGTGGAGACCAAAACAGAGCCAAAAAGGAATAAATTATGTAGCTCACATTCCACAGGTGGAAATGCAGCACCGATTAAACTGGTGTATAAAACAGCTACTGTCTGCCATAGCAGCTCAATAGTAGGACGGTGTTCTAATTGCGTTTGTTGTGCTGCCTTCAAACGTCGCTGGATGTCTTCATTTCTGTAGTTATGATGAGTAAAGCTGGTTAATATGATCATAGAATTGTGTGAATGTTCTGAACATATGCAGCGTTTTTCATTAAACCTGGTTGCTCGCTTTTGACAAATGTGTCCATGCAGTGATTCTTAAAACACCTAACAGTTGTCCTTTCTGTGCTCATTTTTCTGTGTTTTCTTGCGATTGTTTCAGGTGCTGACGGAGCAGGGCTGCGTCTTCCAGGAGCGACACGGCTGGGAGAGACCCGGCTGGTTCAACAAAGATGGACCGGCTCCTGTGAGACGCACACCATCGATTTATTTACTTCCACATATTGACAAGAGGCATTTAGAACGACATGAACAATTAAGATTATAATCTTTCACAATCCTGGCTATCTGGCCCGGCGCTTTGTCCTTCGCTGTACTTGGGGGGGGAAACAAGATTATGATTAATTAGCCTCTAACTGTTTTGTTTGTCTGTGTTCTTGTGAAGCTTAAAGACTACGATTATTATGGGTCTTACGACGTTAAGAAGAATGTAAACTACAAATACAACGAGCTGCTGGGCAAAGAGTACACGTTTGAATTCCCTCCACATCACGATGTGGTAAGATACCAAACTTGTGTTCGTTTCCCTTTAATTTCACTCCCTTTGACGAATTGCTGCCTTCGAGGATCTGGCTGTGATAAACAGTCATCTCAGAAATGTCATGTTTGTCAAAGACAGGACAACATTTTATTTATGTCAGAGTCAGAGCCTGTGTTTACTGGATGTGTGGGTTGTTGTTTTTTTTAAAATGCAGATTAAGAGTGAGTGCCTTTCATGTAGACACAGTGTGGCTGTGTTTGACATGTCCTACTTTGGAAAGTTCTATCTCACTGGACCAGATGCCAAGAAGGCAGCTGATTGGTTGTTCACAGCTGATGTCAACAAGAAGCCAGGTCAGTTAGCCTGCTGCTAAAGCAAACACACACACACACACACATTCACAGACAGATGGGAGGAAAGATTGACGGACTGAAGAGGGCAGATACATGGGGCACACACACAAAAAAAAGATGCCAACACATGAGTCCACTCCACCACAAAAACTCAAAATACCACTTCTAAATGCCAGCATGTAGTGCCTCAGAGATGCTGTTAAAAGTGGTGACAAGAGAGTCTTCACTGCCTCCCTTTTTTTTTTTATTTGGTAACCTTTCACAATCAGCAGACCAACAGCTCCGCCTGAGTCCTGAGGTGACAGGTGTGTACAGATGTGAAAATGGGAAGCCTCTTTCTGCACGTTGCGACTTCTTCGGCCGCTGCGTTGACAGCGATGTCCTTTTAGAAACTGAGATCAAGTCTGGGGGGGAAAAAAAAAAATGCAAAGACGTCAACGCCTTTTAGTCATTTAGCTGTGAGGGATTTGAAAGCGTCTGACATTGGGCGACTCCGAGCAAGTAAATACACCGATCAGAAACACTGACCGCTGGAGATCATCTCATTGCAATGCAGTGTTGTTGCTGGGAAACCTTGAGTCCTGGCACTCATGGGGTTGTTACTTTGACAGATAGCACAACAGCGGCCTCCTCCAACGGGAACACGAGCCCCACATCACTGCTCAGGAACAGCTTGAACACAGAAGCCCAAGGTTTTGATCTCGCCTCCAAATTACTCAGATTCTGTTCCGATCAGGCATCTGCAGGCTGCACAGAGACAAACCTGACCCAAGGAGGCCTTTATTCTTTATTTGGATCCCCATTAGCTTCCACAAGGTGGTTGCTGGTCTTCCTGGGGTCCATTCACAAAACATTAAAAATACAGTACATCAATTGAAAATCACAGAATACCAGTGAGACAACATAATTCAATATCAACCCAGAAAAACTAAGATTGTCACAGACTCGCAGCACCGAGTAGAGAAAATAAAATTCAGAAAAAAATGTTCCTGAGCTGCCACAACAAAATATACATGTGATTCATCAGTTTGAGTTTTATCGACTTCTTGAAGGGATATCTATTATTAATCTGTCTAATACTGGTAGGAGCATGGTCCAAACCGAGACCTGTCTATAAAGAACATCATAAAGTTTGTTGGTGGACTTGGTGCCACCAGAGGACCAGGGCTGACTTGGCGTGTCACATACCCACAGCAAAAAAACACTATATACAAGTTTATCACCAAAGAACTGAGGTGGATTTTTCAGGATGACGGAATGCATAAATGTCAAAAGACTAAATTTTAATTTAGACTCCACAGTCAGCGAAGACAGTCGATGATGCATCTCACACACATTGGCACGGAAAGAACGAAGAACTAATCTGGCTGCCCTTAACCACTAACCACAGAACTTAAAGAATGGGCTAGTAGCACCTTGGTGTCAGATGCCTCAGAAAACTCAGTGGGCGACCGTCACAATATTCAGCAGGTGGTTTTAATGTTGTGGCAGATCAGTTTATATATTGCAACCAGTTATATCATAATTATCTACACACATTTGTAGATATCAATCACAAATCAGGCTGTATTTAGGAAGCACTTCTCACACTAATTCACAGTAACATAAAGTTCTTTGTAGAACATATGGATTAAAAAGCAATTAAACCAACATCTGGTTGCAGAAACACTCCCACGAGGTTTGAATCAAGATATCGCTGCTATAGCTCGACTGGTTGAGCTGGTGACCCGTGTACTGGGGCTATAGTCCCTGATGCAGCGATCGTGGGTTCGAATCCAGCCCATGGCCCTTTGCTGCAGGTCCTTCCAACCCATTCTTCTCCCCACTTTCCTGTCTCACTCTCTAATGTCCTGTCAAATAAAGGCAAAAAGGCCAAAAAAAAAAAGATTGAGAAGGTCGAGAAAATATAAATGGACATATCGATGGATTTGCGCTAAAGCTTTGAAACATTAAGCTCGTAAAATATGCAATTAAAACAATTTGTTGAAGTAGTAAGGTGGGTGTCATAAGTCAAGAAGACAGTAGGAGGAGGAAACAATCATTAAAAACCATGTAATGTGTCAAAAAACTAAGTGGGAATTCACAAATGTCTCATTCGTGTCAATATGTACACAGATTTTAAGATGAAAGGGAAAAGAAAATCCCTAACTATGGATTGGAGTGTCTTCTTTCTAACTCCACATCCCGGAATGATTCATTTTCAAACTTGTAATCTTCAGACTTGATTAACACCAACTTAAGGCAGTTTCTTTAGACATTTTCAGCCACACAAGACTTTTTTTCCTCACATGCAGCACTTCTCTAGTAGACTTCAAACCTACTTCCCCATTGTTGATTCTAACCACACACCAAGAAACGTGTTTACCTGTGAGCTACCTGTAAATGAAACAATTCCACTTTAATATCCTCCTCCGTTATCTTGACAAGATCTGGTCCGCCACACTCCCCCAGCGTTCTCCCCGTTTTTTTTTTTTAATCGACAGCGACTGTGGGGTTCGCACTTGCTCGGAGAATATTAAACGTCCCAGCAGGAGGAAAATGATGTGCTTTACACATCATTTTCTTTAATACCGGTGACAAATGAAACTGCAACATCAATCACTCTTTCAAATGAAAAATGACAGAGGGACAAGCACATATTAGCATGTCAGTGCAGCCACCGTCTCCTTTGGGAAGCGGGTGATGGACATGTTATGATTTTATGTCGCTCGTAATTAGGCGCAGACTTCATTCATTAGGAGATTCATTAGGACGTCCTCATCATGGATATCTTTGTTGAGGGATGTTTCTCGGCAGTCGTTACAGCTGCGGCGAGGTTCTTTTTATTTAAGTTGTTTCCTTGGTAACGAGGAGCAAAAACAACCAAGATGTGAACTTGGTGCAAGTATTAAAAATTCATTCCTACTCGCACGTGGGAGTCAGGAGAGCACGCACAATCAGACGCAAACATACGGGCTGGAGTTCACACACAGAATGAGTTGCAAACACAAGATTGATGTCAGATTTAGTTTCTCTTTCCACACCTAAAAGTCTGCTGCTGTAATTAATATTTAGTGTGTGTTTGCACATGTTTCAGGCTCCACGGTGTATACCTGCATGCTGAATAAAAAAGGAGGAGCAGAGGCTGACCTGACGGTGAGCCGGCTGGAGTCTGGTGCTGCCAGCCTGCCTCTGGCGCCAGAATCCAACGGTGAGAAACGAAGCGCATCGGTTTTAATATCCACCACACTGTATATCTACATCTGTTTATCATTTGTTTTTAACCCTCGTATCCCGCCACTTGATTTACATCCTATTCCGTCGTATCTTATTTTGGATTTATTGTTGTTTTTCGCAACCGATTCTGTTTGTCGTTTGTTTGTCCCGGTCGATCTATCAGCTCCCTCTTATCTGTTGTATTCATCAGTTTATTCTCGTGTCGCTTATTCTTCTCTGCTCTTCCCCTCTATCAATTCAATACATCACTGTCAGCAGCGTATCCGTGTGAAATCTAACTCTCAATGTACCTTTCATTTGCAGCAACATTATCTCGCCACTCAGTCGTTTTTATTTACTTTTCTATTTATGTCTTCATCCGTGAGGCTTTCTTGATCAACATTCGTAGAAGAAAAAAAAAGAAAGAAATTTTGCAGAAAAAAGTTTTTGCTATCTTATTGGCTAAGGTACAAAAAAAACCAAAATGCCAAATTTAAAAAAAGAATCTGAAAACCTACTTCTTCATTATATGACTCCGCTTCACCAGAAAGCCTCACAAAATAAATAAAAAGAGGAGACCAGATGGGGTTAGAGTCGTTGTTCCATGATGCCCCCGTCTCAGCTGCTAATTAAAAATACCACCGGGGTACACATGAATCAGAAGAGACACAGTAATTAATCAAGTAATTAGTATTACATAAAACCATCTTAGGTGGGGAGCTGCCATTCAATGCCGTGATGTGTAAGAGCTGCACGGTTAATTATTTACTTTACTAAGTGCCGTTGAACACGTCAAAGTTGGTGAGAAGAAAACAGGAAATTTTAAAAAGAGTGGGTCCAAAACTTGTGTATTCCCATCATTATATCGCGTGACGTAGTTATGAAGGTATGGATTTAAAACGTGCCCTTTGTCTCCAGGCGATGCGTACTACCTGGCCATCGGAGGCGGCGTAGCGGAACACAACTGGAACCACATCAGAACAGTTCTTCAAGACCAAGGCTTCCGCTGCCAGCTGACCGACCACTCTGAGGACATGGGCATGATCAGCATCCAGGGGCCCAAGAGGTGAGGAAAGGAAAGAAGGCGGGAGAGTAAAGAAGGCTGCGAGTGAAGGAATGAATGTCGGCAGTGTTGTGATGTGTAACCAGGTGGAAAAAGTAGAGCGTGGTCAAAAAACATGAGGAGAAAGGAGCTGAGAAGAGAAGAGGTTTGATTGATAAGAGGCGAGCAGATTACGCGGCTGCTCTCTAGACACATGAGGTGAGTGCAGGGACTGAACACAGGAGATAGAAACAAGGAGGTTCAAGGTTAATTCTGCTGTTTAATGTGGCCATTAGCTGTTTCATGATGCTATAAACCAGGCAAAGTAAATTACAATCTTTTTTTTTTTACCCGGGTGAGTGATGATGAGGATGGTTTGGGCATCTGACCAGAGTCTGCTGAGGGAGGAGATTATTCTGGAGGGATTTGATCCTTTTTATGGCCTGGGAACATGTTGGGATCCCCTAGGACAGGGGTGTCCAATCCTGGTCCTCGAGGGCCACAATCCTGCATGTTTTAGATGTTTCCCTCTTCCAACACACCTGATTCAAACGTTTAGGATCGTTATCAGGCCTCTGCAGAGCTTGATGATGAGCTGATCATGTGAATCAGGTGTGTTGGAAGAGGGAAACATCTAAAACATGCAGGATTGTGGCCCTCAAGGACCAGGATTGGACACCCCTGCCCTAGGAGGACGTGGTGGAAGTCAGCAGGGATCAGAGCATTTGTTCTTAGACAAGTGCCAGCAGATACGACACATCCATGATCGATCATAACAAATGTTTCTCAGAGCACTTCCTCTCTGTGTCATCAATAGTTTAAACTTCTGCTTAGAGATCTATGAATTCTAAACTCTTAAAATCTTACCTGAAAAGTCAAAAAAAGGTCCCAAATATCTTCTAGCCCAAAAGGACCATTTAAAAGCACCGGCAGCATCATGGAAGGAATAGCAAGTGGATCAGAGCCGCCCCAGTGTGACTTGCAAATGAGCATGCAGTGTGCTACGGTTGAATGGATGCAAAATTTTAAAGCCCTGGTGATTTCACAGGAAAGAAAAGAGAAAAAAAAAGATGATGCCTGATCCTGGCTGTCAGAATGAATTCTTCTTTTGTATTTTATACTTTACAGCTCTGCAATAATCCTCCTCTTCCATTTATTTAACTTCTTAGATTTGTTAGTTATGGGTGCGTTTAGGTGACATCAACATTACTGTCGGCGTCCCGTTAACTTCCTGCGATCTAAATAAGTCAAAATAAAACAACATCTCTCCGCCTGCATCACCATCCAGGATAATTCCCACGTAAACACTGCAGCAGTGATCACTTTCAAGGACAGAACGCCAACAGCAATAAAGAGGCAGACGTTCGTCTCGCATGAGCGGCGATGTCCAGGGATTAGGCTGTGACAGCAGCGAACGAATGGATAGAACAGGCAGGCAGGTTGGGAGGCTACTTCATTACCCTGCGTCACAAAAAGTGTTTCTACCCAAAGAATTTTTAAAATTAGTTATCGGCTTTATTAGGTAGAGACAGTGCAAATTGTCAGGGAATGTAAGGAAAGAGAAGGATGACATGTAGTAAAGGTTCGGATCAGCTGGGAATCGAACCAGGGACTCACTATTTGGCTATTAGGTCGCAGCACCCGGAGGAACTAAAAGGTTACTGTAGACTGTTGGTTGTCTGTTTGGTCTAGAGACCCATAAAGATTTGGCAAATTAGTCCACTGACATGTGAAAAAGCGACAACTGTTTTCCCGTTTTTGCGTCTAGCTGCACAACAAACTGCACCGCTCTAAGTCCACTTTAGGTCTCTTAACTTTTCATGTACAGTCGTCCTCAAATGTATTCAAACCCTTCCATTAAAGCAAAGGCAAAATTCACAAAAGTCACTCAAATAACTAGAAACTGAAAAAAGTAATAATAAATAAAAATTTGCAAAATTACAATTTAGTGAAATAAGACGTTGCTTTTTGAATTGTGGTTGAAAAGAATAATTTAAAAAAACAAACAAACAAAACTGTCCCAGACAAATTAGAGCACTTTGCTGATGAGCAGTGAAACCAGTGATTGGCTCAAAGAGTTGTTTAACAAAATATTAGTTTATGGCTCCATCATGCTTGTTTTCTTGTTTTCATTTAATATATTTCAGTTGAACCACAATTCAAAAGCAATGTCATGATTTTTATTTTTTTTTTACTTCTGTCAATTTCAGCTTATTTCAGCAGTTTTTTCCCTTCTTTAATGGAGGGTATGAATACATTTGAGGACGTCTTTTCATTGCTCGCTTTCTGTTCCTACTGCTTTCATCTGTAACTCCGTGTACACATGTTGAAGCGCAGGGTACAAACTGTGCATACAGCCACAGATTTAGAAAAATGGCAACTGAAATAAAATGCTTTGAGTATTCACCCAATCGGAAATGTTCAGTGCTTCAAACCCTAAACTCCCTGCAATTTAAAAAAAATGCTGCCTCTCCAGCGGGGACTTTATGGGGGGTAAAATAATTTTCCCTGGAACTCATATTCGACCTGGTCTGTGCAGTGGAAATGCTGTGAGCCCCCGGGGAAAGCTCCTGCAGCGTAAAAGGCCTAATTCTCTTTAAGCCCTTGAAAAAGCTGCAGCTCTTGTGTCTGTTTTCTCGTTCGGATGCTGCTCCGTGCTTCGGCTGCTGCTCCGTGCTTCGGCTGCCTCTGGGTGAAACTGGTGGGACTAAATGGGAAGTTGTCAGGCGAAGTTTGATTAAAGTCTCTCGACGGTCACATATAATTCAGCTCAATTACCTAACCTGCAAATGCTTCACCTGCTTCCACCATCGATCTATTTCCTCCTCTAAAGGATGTGCATTCATGTGTTGCACAGGTAAAACTGCACACTGCACACTTGGACATAGGAGGTAGTCCAAGCTTGTCACTTTCTTCTCGCTTCCTGCAGCTTTCTCTTTGTTCTTCACTCAAAGAGCGAGCCAGGCCACCTTTACCTCTCCCCGATCTCATTCCCTGCACTCCTCATCTATCTTTTCCTCCCCTCTCTCCCCCCCTACCTCACCCCCCTCTGTCTTTGTTCTTTCCCTCTTGCCAGCAGCAGGGTTACTCCACTCTGTTCTCTGTGTGGGCTTTGTCGATTTCTTCTCCTTGAGGCTTTTCTCATCTCCTGTTCTGCTCGGTTTCTTTGCTCTCAGTCTGTAGCTGGTTTTCACCTTTACTCACCCTCCTGTCCCCCCTCTCTCCTCCCTCCCCACTCACTCGCCTATTCTCAGTGCTCTCTTTCACATTTTTCTGTCCCACTTGCTTTTTATTGCTTACGTCAAACTAGAGTCCGCTGCGTCACCGTCAGCACTAACCCTCTGTGTGTGTTTCATTACAGATGCGCACACGAGCACAATAGGATGCTGATTATGTGTCTCATTGAGTTTTCCCCGAGCATCCCGAACGCACTCGGCTTGTGTTTGTGTTTGTGTGCGCGGATAATGTAGGGAAGATTGGCGTCTGCGTTGCCTCTCGCCGCGCGGCGCCGTAATGATTTTTAGCTCCTCCTCATTGTTTCTGCCTCCTGTGAGGAATCACAGAAAAATCACTCCCTCCAGTGTTTTGGTTTTGTTTTCCTATGAAGCAAATTGATCCCTTTAAAGCTCGAGGAGAGAGAAAATTACAGCGTTTATGGAAATGCGGTTGACTCTTGTTTTCCCTTCCCTGAGATGTCTCATTCAAATTCTCCGGAGAGGGGGAGTCTTTAAACTTGCAGCGTTTCTCTCACGCAGCTTGGCAGCGCGTTCCGAGGGGTGAAACTGGCGCTCAACCACTTGCTTTGTAATTATGAACCTTATGTATAATAGATGAAATTATGCGATATCCTTGAAGAGAGTCCTCTGTGTGTGTGCGTGTGCATGTGCGTATGAGTGTGTGTGTTTTGTGTGTGTCCTCAGATCCACAGCTGAGAGCCACAGTTAAGTGGCAAGTCAGAGAAACAAATTGGTGGTTGTAAGTCCTCCCCCCCTCCCTCACCAAACACACACTCGTGCACACAGTCACACAACAAACAGAGCTGTTTGCTGATTATATATAGCTAATTGGCCTTTGCTCTCGGCCACTTGAGTCCACTGTACAAAGGGAGGACAGAAGCTGGAGGACAGCCTGAAGAGAACATCAGCCAGCTCACACACGCAGGCCTGCTCACATGCATATATTAAACTTTATTTGTTCAGCACCTTTTCCAAAACAAAGAAAAAGAAGAAGCAGAACCTGAACTCTTTCTGCGCTCAGTGATTAATCCTTTGAACACTGAGCAGCTCTGTGGAAACACAACGACTAAGTTTGAGTTTCTTTGATTACTTATCCACAAAAATGGAAAAATCCTGGAATCAACATGTGCTAGATTTTTGTAAATACCAACAGGTATTACCAGTACTGGAATAACATGGACAACTGGAAAACTATACATACTCCACATATTCTAGTATTTACATTTTCAAATTGTGTCCGGTCTGCACAGTTCAGCTGAAAAGCCGCTGAGCTGTTGTCGTGTGAATGTTGGCTACAGCTGAGCTACTAGTAGCTTTGTTAGTTGTACAGGGAACTCACTCATATTTTTATCTGGTTATAGCAAACATTTTACTTTTGGTGACCTTTTCAAATGAGACATGTAGAATCACAGTGGTTAGCACCGTTGCCTCGCTGGTTCACATCCCGGTGAGGACACCCGGGATCTTTCTGCATGGAGTTTGCATGTTCTCCCCGTGCAGTGTGGGTTCTCTCCGGGTTCTCCGGCTTCCTCCCACAGTCCAGAAACAAGTTGTTGAAGTTAATTGGTGATGCTAGACTCCAGCCCGCCATGACCCTAGTGAGGATGAAGCGGTGTATAGATGATGGATGGATGGTAAAAACCTCTAAAACTCAGCTCTGTGTATCAGAGCTACAAATATAGAACTTTTTTCCATTAAAATAGTCCCTTGCTGCCTTTAAATGGCTCAGATGTAAGTCCCCACCTCCTTCTCTGTGCACTCGAGCACTCCAGCTCACCTACAGCTTCACTCAAACATTGTAAAACTAACTAGTGTTTCCCTAATGAAGCCATACATTTTCAAACTGATTCTGAAGAAGAGAAATGACTCAGAAAGCCCCACACTGCGGGGTTGACAGATTGTTTATTTTGAGTTTGTTAAATAAAAACCCGGAAGTTTTAAGGTGGAAATGCTCAGCCATTGAACTGACTGCTTATTTTACTCATGATATGTCTTGTAGCATATAAAAAAAACATTAAGTGGACATGACAACACGGTAAAAGTTTTCACTGGAGTGCATCTTTAAGATATAAACAAGATAAAATGATTTACATAAATACGATTGCCATCCATTAAGAGACAGCTAAGCGGTTAAAGTGAGTTTTAGGAAGAGATTTAAAAGACGATCCTGAGGTAGGAATTTCCACAGCTGAGGTCTCTGTTAGCAAAGGTCGCATGACTTTTGGCGACAAGTAGAGAATTAGAAACTCTTAATAAGGCCCCGTCACAAGATCTCAAGCTACGGTCATACTCGTTAACGGACTGTGCATACAGGCAGAAGCCAGACCATTCAAGGCTTTAAAAGCAAGAGATGTAACCTTTAAGTCAATTCCAAAACTCACTGGTCGCCAGTGAAAGGCAGCGAGGATCACTGCAGTGTGGTCACTTCTCTTAGAGCGTGTTAAAAGCCTGGCAGCAAAGTTTTATATCATCTGCAGTCTCTGAACGTTTGGTCCTGCTGGTAACAGAGTAAAGTGCACTGCAATAGTCTGCAAGAGATAAAAGCATGGATGACCTTTTTGTAAGTCGGCAGAAGAAAGCGATGATCTCGTTTAGCCGTCTCAGTTTGGGCGAAGCAGAGCTGCGATACTTCGGTAATCTATGAATCAAAACGACAAATCAGAGGTAAAAATAACGCAGAGGGAACGTAATGCAAGTAATCACATGTATGACCGTCCCTGCATAGCTGCATTTCTACTTTTAACTATGACCACATTGATTTGCTTTTTAGAAAAAAAACGGACACCCACACAGATGAACACACATGGACACGCTAACGTCATCTGAACTCTTCCCCAGATATCTTCAACCCTGGCTTTCTGCCACACCGTTGCAAAAATATCTGCTAGAAAAGGCCCCACACGTTGTATTCTCTACCTGCCCACTCACATACAATACAAGTGTACAAGTAGCAAGGCAAGCTAAACTTAGTCTCGTTTTTTTCTGTTGACTCATCTTTACGTAATATTGATTTTAGTGTGTGAGTGTATGTTTGTGGGAGAAGGAGAGCTGCTACATTTTCTAGATTTTCCTCGATTATTGTGTTGGGAAAAAAAAAAAACATACACAAAATATTTTTTAAAAAAGAACCCAAAGAGATTAATTATGTTTTCTCCACACCTATTGCACAAGTGAAAAAACACACCGACTGGCAGCCGCAGTATCTGATTGTTCTGTGTTTTCTCCGTCGTGTTGTCGTTGTTTTGCAGCCGAGAGGTATTACAAGAGGTTTTGGACACAGACCTGAGTAATGAAGCTTTCCCCTTCTCTACCCACAAAGTTGTCAACGCAGCAGGACATCAGGTGACAAAACACACACACGTACACAAACACACACACACACGCCGGTGGTTCGACTCATTTCTACAGTAATTGGATGTGGTACGTTTGTCAGCTTCAAAATAACCCTGTCGGTGCTAGTTAAATAAAAAATGCAGTTAATTAAAAATACTGCTATGCAAATCACATGCTGTTGAGTGAAACTGGTTTATTATTTCAAAGGTTCAGTCATCAGAGATGGTAGAGTGTGTGTGTGTGTGTGTGTTGGTGTGTGTGGGGGACAGATGGCATGTCTCAAGGCGTCCTTGTGACTTACTTACATGTCAAGGCTGTCCAAATTATTTTTTTCTCGACCCTTTTTCCACCTTCTACCTCTTTCTTCTCCTGCCTCTGTCTGAAAACAAAGAAAACTCTACAGCGCTGTTGTTTACAAGCTCAGGGGAAGCTGTATATTTATACCTCGCTGTATTTTTCATTCAGTTTTCAGTTTTTCTGCCTCTCGCATTGACCTCAGCAGTGTTTCTGGCTTCACATAAAAAAGAGCATGTTGTACCGGCACATGCAGCGACACATATGTCCACACACACTCGCTCTGTCTTAGCTGCTCTTGCATGAATTATGCAACGCTCTGGTGATTGCAGTCAGCATCTTCTTACAGCTCTGCAGGAGTGTTTGTGCGTGTGCGCGAGTGTGTTGCTTGTGCTGTGTTCCAGCTGGTTGCTGGCCTTGTCTGGGTGACATTTTAATGGCTGCACTGCTGTGAGAGCAGAGCTCTCCCTGCCCTCTGCTCCCCTCAAAGCTCATTAGACTCTCTCTCGCTTTCTCTTTTGCTAACTTGTCATTTGAAGCGAGCGTGCTGCCGTGCGTTAGGTCGGATGAATTCACATTTATATGCATTCTTGCACATGTGTCTGCACTATGTTTGTGTGTGAACTTTAGCCGGTAAATGTATGAGCGACCTTGTGTCACGCACGTGTTCCTGTGTGTTTAAGTTTGTCGTCGATGTATCTGCTGTGTGCTTTGAATAAGTGCAGGACTGCATGTACTATCCTCCCCAGAGCTCCTTAGCATACATATGGGGCCCAGGGTGATCCCTAGCTGCTCACTGGCCAGATGGCCTGGCTGTCACTGCACCCACTGGGGAAACTGAAAGTTTTCGCTCCTTTCTTTCACTCCCTTCCATATTTTCTTACTCCCTTGCTTTCCTTTCCCTCCTCTCTTTAGCGTCTCCTCTCACTTTGCATTAGTTTGCATTCTAACCACTTTACAGGGACATCTTGGCATTTTTCAACCGGGGTGTAATTCTTGTTTGGCTTCTGTTGTGGGTGCTCTGTAATACTGTAATTGTGTTACAGAGTGATGGATGCTGGATGTTTTGAAGCCGACAAAGGCATCAATATTCAAGAGACTAAAGAATAATAACAACGACACGCTGCATCGGTCTTTAGGAATTATTTTTAACTGAAAACATGACATGAACAAAGGTTCTTGACGCAGATCCCAGATTTTTTTTCTCTGTGAAGGACAAACTCTAATGGAGGCACTAAATTGCATCAAGCCTACTGTACTTTGGAACCTTCAGACCACCGCTTCTTGTTACTTATTGGCTGACGTGGGTACAGTTTATCTGAAATAAGCTGATGGTGGCAGAGTCATCGGACCAGTTCTAGTCACTATTAGCCAGCGCTGCACACTGACCTTTTACACTGGGTGCACTGAACCCTTTCATTTAGGTCCACTAGTTTAAGTGCAATAAACATTTTTTTTACTGCACCTGTAATACATTACTACTTCTTTATAAGTGCACATTGGTAGTTTATTCATACATGATGCAAATGATTCCAAACAGGAGTAAAGGTGAAGATAAATGTTTTTGAGGATGGTCTTGGGCTTAAAGTTACTACAAAGCAGTTTAGCTATATTACAGGATTGGTTCCTGTCACAATGCAGGACTGTAGATGCTCTGACAGCGAAAACATTTCAGTGTTTCCCAAAGGTCGAGAAGGTTGTGCGGTGTGACCTGATGTGCATGCAGAGATTTGTGCAGTTTAGAGGAGCTGAGTGATTGTTTTCTGAAGCTACAATTTACAGATGTTCCACAAATGCCTCACGTGCGCTGATAGATGCTACAAGTAGGCGTGCACAGAGAAGCCTCTAGTCTCCACTCAGTTATTGCAGTGCAGCAGCTCAGACAGATGTGAGGCACATCATATACATTTTAATATCAGATCACCTCAAGCTGAAAATGAGTGATTTTAACTACGTGGGTCTGCCGTGTAGAGACACTCACAGACAACATACCAGCAACACCGGCAGACGGATATGCTAAATGTCAGGGACGCTGCTGCAACCAATAAAAATGCTAAGTTGCGTTTGACAGGTTTTTGGTCGCACGCCGGAACCCTGTTGGCAGATTCGGGGAAAAGGAACCAAAAGAAGAAAAACAATGTTGATTTGAGCCTCCTACAACTTTCCAAAAAAACCTTTTGTTTCTGAAATCGTTTCACTCTCTCCCTCCCCAATGTGCTGCTCTACAATCGCTATCATCTTTATTTATTTTTATATCAATCTCCCCCCCTCCTTCTTTTCTTTTCCTGTTTTCATTATTTTCATTGTCCTTGATCATTGTGCTGATTCTTATGTAAAAAAAAAAAAAAAAAGAAGTAGTTCCATAGAAACAGGCTGATGTTGGATTGTGGAGGGACGCAGTGGGCGGGATGCTTTGCTCTGATTGGCATTTAAGATTAGAGACCGTTGGGGATTTAATTGTTTGGCTCGGGGTTGGTCGGATCAGACGGTGGAGCTGATCCAATCTAACACCGACCCACAGAAATAGCTGTTGCAGCTGCATAGCACAGCGGATGCATTCCCTGGTCACTCTGCCAGCAGGTGTGTGTGTGTGCTTTATTATTGTGCAAACACCAGTGTCTTTACATTGCAAGGCTGAAACATGCTTTAGCTTGTGTCAAGAAGGTGGTTTATGTCTGAAACTTTCCAAATTACAAAAAAATAACTTGTCATGATAAAATAGATTCTAGTAATTTTTCTCCTCCTTCTGATCAGTTCCTGGCAGTTAGGGGGATTTTCAAGGCACCGCTGTGTGTTTTTGAGATGCTATCTGTTAAATTGAGGTTCTTCAGAAAGCTGTGGGAGGAGGTTTGTCCTAGTTGTCGTATTCAATGCTGCTTTTCCCAAAAAAAAACCCTCCACAATGGAGCCGCTGAATAAAATGTTACTACGTTCAATATTCAAAAGGACCAAACTACGGAGAATAACATCAAGGTTGAGGCATACTTTCTCCTTTTCTTTTTGATTCATAGCATCTCCCTTTTTCTACCTCCAGCGTACATCGGTTTTCTTCCACCTCTCACCCCCGGTGGAGTTTTTCAATTCCTTTCAGGACACGACATTCATTTTCTAAAGGGAGATTACAGTTTCTCCTGTTTCCTCCTTTTGTGCGCCTTATCTCGTTCTCACATCTATTCTATTCCCCTTCGTTTCTGCTGCTGTCTGGCTCCTTGCTTTTCTCTGCTCAGCTGCGGCACATGAAAGCTGCTGTTAGTATTAAAATGCATTCCATGTAAATTGGGGTCCTTGAAGATAAAGTGTGTCTGTGTGAGAGGCAGCTTGGTCTCCTACATGCATCTGACCATTTCTTTGAGCCTCTCCTCTGCTTCCTCTCGCCGTCCACAGGTTCGAGCCATGCGCCTGTCCTTCGTCGGGGAGCTCGGATGGGAGCTGCACATTCCCAAAGCGTCCTGCCTTCCGGTCTACAACGCCGTCATGGCCGCTGGTGCAAAACACGGCATCATCAACTCAGGCTACAGAGCCATCGACTCGCTCAGCATAGAGAAAGGTAACGTTCGGGCGGAGGTCACAAAAAGCTGAGCACGACATCCAAATCCAGCTCACGTACAAACTTTCTGAGTAAGCAAAACAACTGCGAGCTCAGTGTGAGTGCTTTATTAATGCTGCAGAAACAAAAAAAATGCCACAAACAGACACGGTTATGACTCATATGTCCGCCTTCATCAGGGTACAGACACTGGCACGCCGACCTGCGCCCCGATGACACACCTTTGGAGGCGGGGCTAGGCTTCACCTGCAAGCTGAAGAGCTCCATCCCGTTCCAGGGTCGCGACAGGCTGGAGAAACAGAAGGAGGAAGGGCTGAGGAGGCGCATCGTCTGCTTCACCACCGATGAGTTAGTAGAGCTTCCCTTTCAGTTTTTACACCCTCAATTCCTTCCCTCGACTCCTCTCCTCACACCTACCACTGATATGAGTGGAGGAGTCGAGGTAACAAGCATTTAACCAACGAGACATCCTCGCCTCTGAGCTGCTGTTTTGCAACCTTTCCCTTTATTTTTTATAATTTCTGTCAGATGAGCAGAACATAAGAGCTCACAGTACATAATTACTTCCAAATCAATCCAAAACGTGGCAGACTGTTAAGAGAATGAGCAGACGTCATTTATATTTTTTAGTGAAAAAGAGTCGTGCCACACAAAATAGAACTATACAAATATAGAGTGACCTCTGGTAATGTTCTCTGGTCCTGCCTCCGTCATGGTTTGTATATCCCAGCTGTGTGTTGCGCCTTTTTATGCGGAGAAAACCTAATGGAGGACACATTGAGGATACACCTGAGCATCCTCATTCATCGCTCCTCCAACAAGCCTCCTCTAGCCGTGATCCTTGAAATGCATTTTAGGAATTGAGAAGTTCTTTGTGATGCCGCACCGAGCTTCGTTTTCGGGTCAGAAGAACGGCGGAGACGAGGAGCCTGGAACTAATGAAATGAGCCTCTACTGTCATGAGGGTATAATTTCAGAAAGAAATTAGAAGATTAAAAAATACTTCTTTTTTTGTAAATGCAATCTTCCTGTAGTTAAGCCACCGAGACATTTCCCACAAGCAGATTCATGACTATAATTTTAATTTAAATATTTTCAGCAGCTTAGCTACGATACTGGATCTGTAAATTACCTTTAAACATTTTACAGGATGGTCATCCATTTGGTTTATGTGCAGTAAGTGAATGTAATGCTGCTTGGAAAAGTGTAAATGCTTTATTCCTGAGCCACAGTTGTGCTTGGAGAAGCAGTTTAACTTTAATTTATTTGACTTTTCATTTAGTTACATTAAATTAAAGTATTATTTATCAAACAATAGAGGCCTGAAATGAACATTTATTTTCTTTTTTCTTTTAGATTTTGTCCCAAAACAACATCAACTGTTTAGAATTTAAAGCACATTTCTATCATTTTGACTGGTCATGCTGGAGGATTACATCTCTATACATTTCAGGTTTACGAAGCCACTCAGAAATAAACTAAAATTCACTATTGCCAAGCTAAAAATAAATGTTGTTCTCAATTCCTAAGAGCGCCGCGTTCTGGAGATGCATCTTCCCCAGACGACAGCAGTTTGCAATCACGAGAACACGGCTTCCTTCATGTGAATATTAAAGTGTCCGTGTCCTGTGTGGGCCTGCCAGTCGTGATTAGTGTCAAAGCGTGTGGTCGCATTTAAGTGCGCGGCGGACCAGCTTCGGTCTCAGAATGTGGTGTGACATGTTTACAGTCAACAGAGGTCCGTGGACGCTGCTGTCGACATGATCAGATTTAATTACATCCACTAAGTACGCTTAAATGATTAAAGTGCGACTCGGATTTGAAAGAACTGGACATGTGCAGCATGTTTGGATAAAGTTCAATATTCTCTTCCTCCTTCTAGAGAACGTAATAATAAGTGACATCAGATCACCAACTTGCTTTTATTGTTGTTATCTTATATTATTGCTGGATATTCAATCTCTTTATTTGCTTCGTGGTTGTTTTATTCCATCTTCATTCAACCATGTGAAGCTCTTCATGAAGGAGTTCTGCAAAGTGTACATGAAGTTTCTTATGACTGTTTTTTCTCCTCCTCTCCAGTAAAGTCCCCATGTTTGGTCTGGAGGCCATTTTCCGCAACGGAGTCCCCGTCGGTCACCTACGACGCTCTGACTACGGCTTTTTCATCGACAAAACTATCGGCTATGGATACATCCGCAACCCCGATGGAGGCGTGGTAAAGGCCTTAAAGACACACATGCACCCAAACACTACATTATCCTTTATCATTGTTCTGTATTTAATACTTTCCTTTGTATATTATGGGCTGTCAGTCAAAGGTTTCTTAGTTCAAGTTTATATTTCACCAGCAGGAGGATAATTTGGGGCCAATTTTCCAGGGAAAATATGTAGAAATGTGTGTCAGTATGTTGAAAACATAATGAAAAACAGGTAGATTCCTGCAAGAGAGTTGAGAAAGTCTTGTTGCAAACAGGTGAAATGCTCACACAAGGGGGTTGGGTAACAAACAGAATTCAATATTTTGCAGTTTGCTGCCTCAAATGAGAAATTTACACTTAAACAGAGATGTTTCATATTAGTGTGGCTGTTTGAGCTGTCACGTCCTCAAGCTGACACTCAGGTTCACCCACTTGCTCCACCTTAAAAATTAAGGTTTATTGACCAGCATGCATTTTTTTTTTTACATCTGTTTTTCTTCTCATAACAACACAGACACACAAAATAACAATCAGGGGAATAGAGTCATCAAGATGGAGGGAAACAATTGATTTAAAAAGGCGTGTTTAAAAGCAAGACTGCTTTTTAAGTCTCTCTTCTTAAAATGACTTGGATGTCACCTTTAGTATGTGCATATCTAGTAGCTATGACTTTGCTCGAACACTGTAGAACTTCTCTATGCTACACATAAGAACCGACTATTGAGCGCACCTGAATATAAGCCACTGGCTTTAAAAAGAAAATAAACATTTGTACATATACAGGCGGCACTTGTCTATAAGCTGCAGGTGTCCACGTTGTAACATGAGATATTTACACAGAAAGACTTTTTTTAATGTATAATTTAATACGTACCGGTAACGTACACAAATATGTAAATGCTTTTTCCTGAACAACGCCTGTAACACGGCTGGTTAAGAAAATAAAAACTACAGCAGCCTACCAGGAAAAGTCACTGATCGCTATCTTCAACTTCCTCCTGAAAACCACTAAAGTTGTCTTCTACAGCATCAGAATCACTTCGTTACTTCCTCAGTCTAACTTTTATTGTCGCTCTCAATGTCGCTTTTGTCTCGAGACAAATTCGTGGAAATCGTAAAAATCCATCAATTAGCCGCATCGTTGTTTAAGCCGCAGTGTTCAAAGCGTTACGATAAGTTTTTCAAATTGGTGTCATTTTGAGCTGGAAACCACGTCTGAATCTGTGTTTTTGAGACTGTGATCAGCACGCTGCTTATTTTCTTCTAGCTGCATATAAACAGCACCATATGGACATGTTGACGGAATAGAAAACCTGATTGCATTTGAGTGGATCTTTAAATTCTGAAAAACAAGAGCAACCCTTTGGTGTGTTTGTGTACTTATTGGTGTATTACTGATGTAACTCTGTTTGCGCACCTCCCTAAAATAAGCCCCCTTAACATGAATCAGTAGATTTTAGGTTGAGGAGTTGGTTTAAAGTTTGGGTAAAGTGAGTTCTGTTTGGGTAACTGTAGGTAATGAATATAAGCTTGTCTGTGTGCTCATTCGTTTATTATCCACCAGCACAACAAAACAGACTGAGCCTTGGCTTTGTGGAGTTTGGAAATGCACAAAGACACACAGTGACGTGATGGTAGGTGTTGTGCTCTGTAACCCTGAGTGACAACAGACCAGATCTGTCAGACACGTGTGTGTTTGCGACTGTCTTCTCTGCTAAACACACCCACATGTGGAGGGTCATACATCTGTCTGCCCTCTCCACACGCCTGATCTGATTCCTTCTTTTCCTTACTATCCGTATGTTCCTGTGGTTTTCACATTAGGGTTTACTGCAGTTTTCTCAAACTGCTCCAACTCTGGCTGATTCTTATACTCCCTTTGGTTTATGTGGAAGTAAATAAACCATCAGAATTCACCTTAGTTTCAGTGGATGTGTCGCCCACATTGAGCCGAGATGAAACTAATCCCAGAAGAGAACTTTTCTGGAGGATATTGCCAAGAAAAAAAAAAACTAAAATGGAAACGAAGAATGAAAATAGGCAAGAAAAATAGAACAGAAATAGAAAAAATAATAAGTAACAGCACACGTGATAATGAAATATTGCACCTGGGATTGAAATATGCACCTGAAAAATAAAATGTTACAAAATACTGAAACCGAAAAGGCACAAACTACTAAGAAAAATAACATTGCTATAGGACTACTATACTACTTAAATAGTACTACAGTACTATATAGTACTACATGTTTTTGGACTACTACAGTTCAAAAACATGTTGAGGTTAATTGGTGATTGTAAATTGTCCGTAGGTGTGAATGTGAGTGTGCTTGGTTGTCTGTCTCTAAGTGTAGCCCTGTGATAGACTGGTTACCTGTCCAGGTGAACCTGCCTTCACCCTGAGTCAGCTGGGATAGACTCCAGCCCCCCATGACCCTAGTGAGGATTAAGTGGTGTATAGATAATGGATGGATGGATGGATGGATGGATGGATAGTACTACTGCTGTAAAACCGCTGACCAGTACCACTGTGACACACAGTTTTCTATAAATGTCTGGGTCAACTACTTCCCTCATTTTGAATTATGTTTTTAAAAAAAACATGTTTTTTAATCATAAAGTCCAAGATGAGTCATCAAAACTAACATTTAACGCTTAAGCCAGAAGCTGAGGACCTCCTCTACAAGCCCATATGGTGTTTTTTAATATGCCAGAAGACATATCAGCTTTCGTCACTGTCATTCTTCTTCTACAGAATCAGTTTCCACTTCGAAAAAGCATGTCTGTATCACAGTATTGCAGCGGTAGTTCTAGTGTTTGAGCAGCGATGTAGGTGAGCTGGTGTGCTCGAGCTGCTGTCATCTGGGATCGATGTGTAGAAAGAGAGTCAAGGACAGTGGAGTTACAGCAAAGCCATTTTAAGGCAGGATGAGATAATTTTCAAGAAGGAAAGGAGAAAAAAAGGGGTTTAATTAATGACCAGAGAGAAGCTTGAAGTTGATTTTTCTTTGACATATATGTGACATTTTCCAAGAGATTAGTGAGCAGCCAACACAAGGGCACAGCACTAAAATATGTCTTTAAATTGGCGGCTGCTTTGATTTCATCCCAAGGTGATAATAAAATAATAAAACAACCTTGCGTTTGACATGTTTTTAGAAAGTTAATATAAAGCAAGGGGAAGTGTGAGTAGCAGCAAATAACCCACCTCCTCCTTTGCTTGTGGTATCTTTCGACTAAAAGCTATATTTTATTAAAGAACTCCTGCACTGGATTTAGATATTGAAGGAACCAGACACCATTTCAATCAGGGCTTAAGAGGCATGTGAGGAAAGGATCCTCCGTGCTGGTGGATGCTGTAATTGGGCTTTGATCTCAGATTATTGCAGCGTGCGGAGTGCTTGTCCATGCAAAATGAGACAAGGGCATCCGTGCTGTTCCTCGCTTTGGGCCTTTTCTAGATGTTCTCAGCTGAAGGCAGGTTCTGAGTGAGTTTAGCCGGACGGCGCTGCTTCAGGCTCCGACATGGAAGCGGTGAAAACTCGTAAATCTGTTTACAGAGTGTGGGAGGACGACCAGGACGCCCCATAACATAAATAATATAAAATAAAATTTAAGCATGTTGAAGGTTAGCGTAAGATTAGATTTAGGCGAGTAGTATTTATGGTTATGTCCTCTGAAGTGTGTGGGTGTGAATGAAAGAGAGACGGAGTGACAGATCAGTGGGAGAGCTGCAGGGAGGGGAAAGAAAAAAAAAAAGAAGAAGAAGGGAGTCAGTCGGTGAAAATTAGCTCTCGGTGTTACTCCGGAGCTGACATTGACTCACGAGTGAATTAATTGCTTCCAGTGTTTTATAACTCCTGCGCCGTCCTCTTCTGTGAAATCGTCCGTTCTGGAGGAGCTCTCGCCAGTTGAGAACATTATTTTTACAAAGAGAGCAGATTAATCGGTCATCTCGTTTTCCCTCTCCGTGTTAATCTCTATTGTCTCGCCAAATTTAAATTCCCTTCCCCCCAAACCTTCTTCTCTCCCTTTTTCTTGCTTATCTTTGCCTTTTTGTTTTGTCTTTATTTCTTTTTTTTTTGTTCCTTTTCTTCATCAGGTGAGCGCCGACTTCATAAAGAGCGGCGAGTTCACCCTGGAAAGGATGGGAGTGGTGTACAAGGCCAAGGCCCACCTCAAGTCTCCGTTTGACCCGGAGAACAAACGCGTCAAGGGCATCTACGCTTGAGACGGAGCACGCATGTAAAAACTGAATAAAACACGCTGCTTTGAAAAACAAAAGGCGTGCAAGTTGAAGGGATTTGCTGCCTTTTTTTATTTTTACATGCAGGTGTTTTAAGTCTTTACGAATACAAGCAAATGTTTTACTCTGTGTGTCATGGGATGGGACTGAAGTGAGGAAAGCTTTGGTCATTTCAGGTGTAATGTGTCATAGATGGTGCAAAATCTTTATCCAAGTGGTTGGAATCTGGTTTGAAGGAGTATCAGTGTGAAAGATCCTATGAGAGTAGCATCACCATGAAAGTAATTCCAGATTTAAACCTTATTCTCTCTAAGAATCAAAGAATTTGGCTAAACTGAAAACGATCCAGGTTGTGGTCGAATAGTCCGAAACGTCCTTTTCCTAAACACTTTTCCTTCACCTTTATGGAAAAACAAGTGAAGTGAATTCAGAAGAACGTAAGAGCTCAGAGACAGGGATTGACTGATGTGTTTGTTTGTTTTTAAGAGCTGATGCTGGTGCTGATTACACTGGGTGACAAAACAATACTTTTTTGAAGGTGTCTAGGATTTTCTAACTGATTTAGGACATTTTTGCAGCGCTGAATCCAAAAATGAAATCTGCTTTTCTGTATCAGGTCAGGTTTTTATGCCAACTGGTTTAAAAAAAAAACAGTTTTGTCACTAAATCGATGACATTTTTTGACATTAGCGTTGATTTATTTTAGTATTTCTCAGATGAAATCGGATTTTAGAGGAAAAATTTCATTTTCTAATCCTTCTCATAAGCTAAATGATCCAAAAGTTGATGAGCGTAAACATTTGTAAAGGTAAATACAAGTATATTACATGTGGCGACGGATCAAATTGAGAATCGCACGGCCACACTGGCGGCCATCTTGGTACAGTGCACTTGCTCACCCATAACATTGTGTTGTAGAGGTGCAGGTACTTTTTAAATTATCATAACTTGCTCAATTTTCTACCGATTTTCAAACGGTTTGGTTTGTTATAAACATCGGAGGTGTAGTTATAACGCAGCACTTATGGATAATTATGCTACACTCTCACGACCAGCGACAATCTGTATTTTAATTTGTATTTTATTTGTATTTTTGTAATTTGAATTGTAGTTAATAACGTTTGTAAGAAACCAAACCTTTTGTAAATCCGTCAAGATTTCAGCGAGATAAGAGTATTTACATTTGTGCAGATCCTGTTCGAAACGCAGCCTTAAGACATCTGGCCTTTATTATACATATCTATGCATTTAAGCACATGTTGTGTCTCCAGCTTGGATGCTGCCGGCTCTGTTAGGAACCTTTCTGGGCTAAAAAAAAAACGACTGTTTGACCACAACTCCCCTTAACCTTTCCTGGATTGATCTTAAAGACTCAAATAACTGCACACGAGCAATTTGAAGACAGTTTTAGCAGCAATAGCTAAACTTAATGATCATCAAGAGTCACATCTAGCTGAGGATCGTAATGGATCCTTAATCTATTTTTAACACACCTCATGAGAGGTGTTTTTGTTAAGTCTTAGTACTAATTAACAAAGTCTTAATCTTCGTAGCGGCGGGAATAACTGTGAACTCTATGGACAGTATTCGTTGTGATGATTATGTGAGGTGTGTGCGGTGATGGTTTAGCTCAGACAGCTGTTGCATTTGTAACCAAAGGGCTTTTTAAAAAAAAGTGGTTGCAAATGCATGTGTGCCGACCCAAAGTAAATACCATAAATTCTCAATTAGCGGCCAGGTCCTTTGTGTACCGTAGCTGAAGAGAAAACTAGAAACTCCCTAATATCAGAGTCAGGCTATTAATTCTAATTTTGTCCTCATAGTGCCCCACAGTATATTATATAATATTGTGGCGCTGCGTGTTTCATCTCTAATTTATCCTACGAGGCCACAGAGGCTCTGAATTAGGAAGTGAAAGTATTCTCAAACTGCACAGCAGCCCTGCAGGCAGCTGGAGTCAGATTACACTGACTGATGCTCGTGCTGATAAAATGACTTTTACTTGCTTGTATGCTATCTAAATCACAGGCAGACAGCTTGAGCGTTTATTAGAGCTAGATGGAAAAAACACCCCGAGGCGCCGCGTACCAGGGGGACAAAACATTTCCTGAAGAAGAAGAAGAAGACAACAGTTATCAGACAGAGAGCTGTGCTCTGGATGGAACCTCCTTTGTTTTCTCATCCGTCCCCACCTCCCCCGTCGGCTCGCCGGGGTTAATCTGCCGTCGCTGCTGTTTGCAAACTCTTTTAGTTTAGTTATTTAACAGACGCATTGTTATTTAATAAGGCTATCCATCAAGTCAAGCATCGCCAGGAGCTGCTGTTGCATCAGAATCAGCGTTTTGTGCGTCTGCAAGCAGCTCAAGGAGGAGCATAATTACTTCTTTTTTACCTGGATTACTATTATTGTGAAGCAGCAGGAGGCGTCGAGCAGCGGTGCATTCAGAGCCGCAGCATCAATTGAAAATCATCATCTCAGGATAAGACAGTAGTGAGAAGATAGGAGTCGTGTGGGCGCCGCTAGAGCTCACCTGGTTGAGCTGGCGTGTGCAGGGCTACAGTCCCGATGTGGAGGTCATGAGTTCGAATCCCGCTCATGACCCTTTCCCACATGTCCTGTCTCTCTCTGACTACACTATCCAATAAAGGCCAAAAAAATAACTTAAAAAAGATAGGAGTCGTGTCATTAATATCATGGAAAGCTGAAAATGGAACTTATGCTGAATCGACCGGCCTTTACTTGAGAATTTTTGGGAAACTTGTAGTGCCTTTACAACAACAACAAAACTATCTTCTGTGACATCTCATGTTTGTTTGAATTAAAATTTCCAAACTGCAAAAGCAAGAGAAAATCACGAGTTTAGCACCTTTTGATTTGTACCGCAGGTGCTGGGATGTACAGGAATTATTTTCATGTGTTCTCACCAGAATCTGTTTTTAGTTTGACGCATTTTTGTAGAATTATTCGCCAAGAATCCTATTTTCCATCTTTGTTTACACTAACTTACACTAATACGCTCAACACTAAGCAGAAGCCAAAGTTCGTCTCGCGCGCCGTGTGAACAGCAGTGAGAGAAAAAAAAAACAAAAAAAAAACTGTGTCTAAGGAAAAGCAGGCATTTGTATGTATGACTCCCGCCTCCCTCTCGGATGTTTGCTGCTGCACGTTCAGCACAAAATGTTTACTAATGTGGAATGATTCATTGATTCTGCCCAGAAGGCCATTAATCATTGAAATGGTTGTTCTCAGGAGTAGCTTAGGTTAATAACAAGATTTATATGGAAAATGTGAAACACATTGATAAAACACTGCTTCCACAATGTGCCCAGAGTTTTAGTTTTTTTTTGCTAATATAGTTTATATAATTTCAATTCCTTCCATAGCGGGATGTGAATATCGCTCAGCAGTGATTCTGAAGTTGCAGAAGGTCACATTTCTCAATGCTTAGGTTTTAAATGTAGTTCTTTAAATTGATTATTGTTTGGATTGTTGTTGCTTTAGGAGAAAATCTGAAGGCTGTGATTACTAAGTAAGGATTAATCCAGACTCATTTATTCTGTGCAAAGGAAATTGTGTATTAATAAATTTCTATTGAACCTTAAACACTTTTGTGACATTTATTATTTAACAGTTATGCAGAGAAACATTGGGGCGTGTAGCAAGAGAGAGCAAATTACAGAATTTAACTATGATAAATAAATGTAAATTGTGCTTTTTTTCCCCTCTTTTTTTGCCTTTGAATCCCATCCTAGTCATTCTTTATGTATTGTTTACGACAGAATGAAATTATTTGCCACATTGCCTACTGTTTCATGTTGTAATGATGTTTGTAAGTCAATCAAATATTAATAGGTGTCCATGGACAGGACCACTGGCAACACTTTTGTCCCCATCACAGACGTATACGTTGCAAGTATTCTGTATTTTATTTAATTTTAATTTCAGAAATGGTGATTTAAAACACAACACACTGTTTTTACTCTAACTCTTATGCACTGAACAGAACACAGACAGTGTATAACTACAGCGTCTAGCCAGAGATAAAAATTCTGCAAATTCACAGGAGCTTCTTGAACTTTCCACATGTAGGTTTGCTCTCCTCAGGCTGAAACATCCCTGGAGGCTCCTGCTCACACTGGGGCTGTCGGGGGTCGACTGGTGGGAAGAGCAGCTCCTTCACAGGGGTAGCGAGGCTTCTCAAGGATGGAGGTCACCGCTGGTAGCGGCTGCTTGTCCCAGTCCCCCTGCAGACACATGTATGGGGTTTGTGGCAGCTGGTATATTGTCTGGTCTTAACATTTTCAGATAAAAATAGCCAAACGGGCAACTGTGTGCGTCACACCAAGTGCATCAAAAAAAAAAATGCTCAAGGACACTGTTTTGAGCGTCCTACATGCGGCTGTAAGACTAGAATAGTTCAACTCTAAGAAATAAATCTGGAAAATAACAGTTAATATACTAGCAGCTCATTACATGGACTTAAAAATAAACTGAAGCTTTTAATTAATAAGCGTATCCACAATAAAAACTATTTACATGTTAGCGACAGTGTAAAAACAAATGTTTTCTGTGATTTAATGGTAAATCTATGACAAAAAATGGACATTTGTTAATATTTAATGGTGTTTCTATTGTAGAAAATAAGTTATTTTCCATCATTTAATGCTAATTCTACAGTACAAAAACAACTAATGGTAAATAAATCCATAAAATAACAGAAAATGTGTTGGCAGCTCATTAATTAGGCATCGACCTGTAACTAAAATAGGATTTTTATTTTATTTTTTTATTCATGGTACACCTACACCTAAATGCCTTTTTTTCCCACAATTATTATACCTGCAGCAAAAAAAAACTTAACTTTTCTGTTAATGACTTACCTGCAGTAACAATAACTAAAAACTGATTTTTTATTTATATATCTTTCATATCTCTTTAAAAATACTGAACTAAAAGAAAAGAGAATTTGTGCCAGGTTTGTTCATTCATTACATTTTCTCTTAAACATTACAACAAATATAAAGAAAGACGTGACATACATGAACAGATATTTTAATCCTATCACGCTAAAGACTATTTCTTTTTAAAAATACTGCTGTACAACTGTTAACACACATATTTCCTGGAGTGATTGTGCAGAACGTGCTGTTGCATAACTTCCAAACTGCACGGCGACAGCAGAAGCTCTTGCATTTCCCGATAAGCAGCATTGGTGCAACCATCTGCGAGACTTAGTGTCACCAGTGTGAAATTTTAGTCTGGAGTCCTCCCCGGCTCTGCTCCTCAACATGTAGGTCAACGTTTACTATCCAGTTGCTCATTTAATGAATCAGTCACAGATAACACTGTGCAGCTCGATTTATGTCCTGCAAATTATTAATTGCAATGACTTAAGATGCATTCGTTGGGCTTCTAATGCCATCATGAGTGCTGATTAGAGGCTTATTTTGTGCATCATTATGTGCTGAAGTGATTTTTAGACTGTGCATTATGCTTTGTAGACTATCTCTGTAGTGGTAGAGTGTGTGTCCTGCTGCGAGCCCACGGCTTTCTACTGTTTGTTTCAGCTTTGCACGTCTTTGTTGAGCTTCGCATGTCGCCTTTTATCATTTTTAGTCCATAAAACCCCAATTCTTTGCAGTTACCGCTCTGCTCGTCATCCCTCACAACGTTTTCAAGTGCCAACAAACATCCACTGTTCTTCATACCCAGCGCCGGCCGCTCAAAGACCAAAACTGTGAGAGCCCGACTACAAGCCGAACTGCCGAATCGCTTTGAGTTTTTTTTTTCCATTCGCTCATTATGGATTCACCAAAAAAAAAAAAAAAATCTTAAAAACAGCTTTGCCTTCCAGTGGTGCCACCATTAGCGGAACACATGCCAGTTTTGTGAAAAAGGCCACCCGCTGCGGCTGATATTAAAGGCCCTGAAAATATATTTTCACAGACAGCTTCTTGCTCAAAGTGATGGGCTCCTACATTAACACAGTGTTTCCTGCCATAATTAGAGTTATTTCACTTGACGGATCTCTTTTGTCTTTCTATTTCTTATCTTCCTTATTGGTTTGGTGATTTGGGAATACGTGATTGTCCTGCAGTTAAGATTTAGAAATATTTAATCAAAATATGATGACGCTTGTGGTAATGATTGCTTTTTTTTTTTTTTTTGCTCGGCTAGTTTGAACCAAAATAGATCAAGACTCACAGTGTTGTTCCTGATTTTGACTGTTGAACATCCATCTATGCATTATTTATACGCCGCTTAATCCTCACTAGGGTCACGGGGGGGCTGGAGTCTATCCCAGCTGACTCAGGGTGAAGGCAGGTTCACCTGGTCAGGTCACCAGTCTATCACAGGGCTACACTTAGAGACAGACAACCAAGCACACTCACATTCACACCTACGGACAATTTACAATCACCAATTAACCTCAACATGTTTCTGGGAGGAAGCCGGAGAACCTGGAGAGAACCCACACTCCACGCAGAAAGATCCCGGGTGTCCTCACTGGGACGCGAACCGGTGACCTTCTAGCTGCGAGGCAACGGTACTAACCACCGATCCACCTTGCAGCCCCACTAATGGTTTTATTTACGTCCTAATCTACGGACAATTTACAATCACCAATTAACCTCAACATGTCTCTGGACTGTGGGAGGAAGCTGGAGAACCTGGAGAGAACCCACGCTGCACGGGGAGAACATGGAGACTCCACTCAGAAAGATCCCGGGTGTCCTCATCGGGACGCGAACTGGCGACCTTCTAGCTGTGAGGCAAGGGTGCTAACCACCGATCCACCTTGCACCCCAGTGTCGAACATTTAGTAATTATTATTAACAATACTATGTGGTTAAAGGGTAAAATTAAATGAATGAAAATGAATCCTTACAATCGATCACATCTGTAAATATGTATGTAAAGCTCAAGCAGTTTACCTCATCGATTCCTTCCATTAACTGACCTGGATTCCCTTTTCCATGTGACCTATTTGGCCTGACCTTTTAAATTACAGGCGTGTTTCCGAGCCTAAATCATCCTATCCGCTCCTCATGTCCCCACCCAAACACTGCAGTCTGTTTTCCGTAGCTGCATTTCCACTGACTGATGTTCGGCATCAAGCAGAAAGCCGCTTCTCCGACAGAAAACCTTGATCAAGGCCGCTGCACAGTTTCGTAATTGATTTCTTCGCTCTCATCCAAACATCTTGCGAGTGTGTCTCTGTTTATATTACAAGTTAACAAGCTGTCTGCTCAGCCGGTCCGACTCCCCTGTCCAACTGATGTCTGCTTTTGAGCTGCTTTAATTGGTGGCTTGCAAGTCTATTGTAGTACGCGGGTATGATGGAGGTCGGGGGAGGGAGGGAGGGTGACTTACAGGAAAGAGGCGTGCGGTGGACTGATTGCAGTGCATGGAGATGGGAGCTGTGTTGTAAAGGGAGTCCAGCACTTCTCCGCTGAACGCATCCCACTGTAGCTGAGAATACTGCTCCGTCACGCTCACCTCGCCGCACACACACCGGTCATTTCCCTGGAACCTGGAGGAGGAGGAGGACGGAGTAACGGGGAGGGTGGAGGGAGGAGATTGAAGGAAAGTCGATAGAAGGGAGAAGCAGAGCGAGATTGAGAGAGGAGGGAGAGGAATCAGTTAGAAATGGCATTATTAGAACACAGCTTCACTTTGAAAGAACAAAGGCTTCTTGGGATAAAAAAAAAAAAAATCACCACTCTGAGGCCCGCGAGCAAAAGATAGAGGACGGAGGAATGTTGACCGAAAAAAAAAAAATCTGCTTAGTCACACGTGTAGATGCGGAGGAAGATGCTGAAGGAGGAAGAACAGGGAGGGAGGGACGGTTTCGTGCACCTGTTAATGAAGTTAAAGTACTTCTGCAGGTATCCTGGGTCAACGTGGCTCTTGCACAGCTCCAGCTGGGTGCGAGGATAGTAGTGGATGTAGTTGACACACATTTCCTCCATGATGCCGAAACCTCCCTGAGGAGACGGAGACAGAAAAAGAGCAGATTTAAGTATTAGAGGGATGCAATCAAAGGATTATGGGAATGAATGAAACATGGAGGGAGGTCATGGAAGGTCATCCTGCTGCTAGTAGCAGTAATGTGCAGCTTCAACCTGAAATGATCTAAAGTTTGACTCATTTTTTGAATCTTATTTCACCTCCAGCTGCTCTGGTTGTAGCTGATCTATTTGTTTTAAATGCTCTGATTAAATTCGATGTTAAATAAGGGCTGAATGAATGAATGAATGAATGAATGAATGAATGAATGAATGAATGAATGAATGAATGACTGGATGAATACTCACCACTGTGGGCTGCCTCCTATCTTCTGTATTGTAAGTACACTTTGTTATGAGGGCGTCACCCTGCAGGATCAAGTCATCAATTCGTCATAATTTACTTCTAACAGAGAACATTGGAGATAATCTAAGGTTAGTGACAAAAAAAATAAATGAATTATGTAAGCGAGCCAGTGGCCAGTTAGAGAGAACGCTGCCTTGCGGAGCTCAGCTGCCGTGGTTCGGTCCATCTCCCGGGAATTTCCTTATTACAGCTCTGACTTTTCAGCCCGTCCCTATTTCCTCTCCGTTTAAGCACCTTATACGGCAGCAATGTATTCTAATTCATTACTTTAAATGCAAACGGCGATAATAAAAAAATAATACATGTGGGGCAGTAGCGTTGAGAAGTGCTCCGCTGAGCTTGCAGAACAGTAAAAAATCCCATTCTTGTCTCAGTGGAGAACTAAAGCCAACAGTAGTCGTCGTGGTTGTTGTTGTTCGTCATTTTCATTGCAGAGGCAGTCGTTAATTTTATACTTACAGGTAAAACGTTCACCATTTTCCTCAGAACTCGGATTGTCTGGAAAGAGAAGAAAAGAAAGAAGACGAAAACAAATGCAGTAAACAACCGTTCATTCTTGTGTTTGAAAACCCAAATAGCAGAAACACGACTGTGATTAGAAATCAGTGATCTTAGCGATTTGTTCTTCAAATTTGATCATCAAAATCCACACAACACTGCAATTCCTGCATCTTAACTTGAGGCATAATTGGAAACTCGGTGCACAAAAGATGTATTTCAAATGATAGCGAGATAAAACAGTTGTTTCTCTTGATGCGGTCCTTCGAGGCACCGTTCGTAGTTATTAGCTGTGTGACTTTGCTGAGAATGGTTTGATAAAGTCTTCAGATGCCAAATGACGCTGCAGGGATTGAAACAAACACCACTCAGGTGCTCTCAGATTAGCCTGACATCAACAGCAGCTGCAGATTTTATCAGACAGTCTAGCAGATGTCCTTCTGTGTGTGTGTGTGTGTGTGTGTGTGTGTGTGTACCTGCCTCGGGATATTGTGCATAAATAAAGCACAACAGATGTCGACTGCTGTCTCTCAACAATGTTAATGTTGTTGTTTGTCAGTTCAGACGTCGAGTCGACATCCGGGAGGTTTTTTGTGACATCGTGAACTCTCAGCGTGTGAGGCCTAAATTCGTGACATGACGTATGTTAATGACTTCCTCTCGTACGAGACCTTCACGTTTTGGCAGAAGATTGGCAGCTCTGAAAATCGCTCAAGCTCAAACTTCGGCAAACCAACATGAAAGATGGACATGAAGCAGGTTACAGACTTTAACATCAAAGACGCTAGCAGGAGGGCAGCCTGGACCGAGTCAATGAGCTGAATGCCTGCTTTGCCCCCCCCCCCAACTCCAACCTCCATGCTTCTCCACCTGACTGTGAAGATCCACCAGGTCAAGAGACAGTTGGAGAGACTTCACCTCACCTTCACTTCATTAATCCGAAGCTCCTGTGCGAGCCACCTATCTGGTATCCTGAGACATCTCTGACCTGAGTCTGTGAACGATAGCGTTGCATCCTTAGTTATGACGGTAGTGGAAAGACCTTGTGCCACAGGTGAAGCCATCTCTACACCCTCTTGATCTTGATTATACTCATGTGCAGATGTGCACATCAGACAGTAGCCACAGTGGGCGTCCATTTGTTGTTATATTACTACTCTATTCCACAGAAGTCCACTTGGAGGACTCTGTTCCATGCATGTGCTTGTATCTTTACATTCTGCACTTGCACACGACTGCCAAGCATTTGCACTGTTGCCCTTGGAGCGCAGAGCCATCTTCAGCAGTCCAATCAGTCAAGAGGATAGGCGGGGAGAGGAACGAAGGCTGGAGTGCAGGACTGGAGCTCCAGGCCAATCAGCCAAGATGACAAGCAGAATACTCATGAGCCAGTCGTCACCAGGAGCCCACGCAAAGCACAAAGATGAGGAAGGGTCCACCACAGGGACGGAAGGAAGGCAAAATGGTCACCAGGGCTGCATGGAGGAATCTCTGGAGGGGTTTTCACAGACTCTTGTGGAACAGGGGGGATGATGAAGTTTTTGGACTATGGACGCAGATACTGTAACACCGGCCTTGTGTGTGTGGACGATGCTATCATCTACCTGCTGCAGTACGTTCACTCTTACCTGGATAGAAGTCGTGTCACTGCAAGAATCGTGTTCTTTGACCCTTTGTCAATGCACCATCCAGGGAAAATGAACACACTGTAGCAGGTAGATCATAGAATCGTCTTGCTGAGGTTTGTTGGAGTGATATAAAACTCTTTGTCCTACTTTTTCTATCAGACGATTAGGAATAGTCTCTGGATGTCCTTGAATGTTTAATAGCTTTGCTTACTGAACCCTATTCAGGACTTTCATGTTGCCATACGCAGAAGGTTTTTCAGGGTCCACTGGACCCCAAGAAAGAATATGTGCAAAGTATTTGTTGGTTTTCATTATAGACTTTTAAACTATGTGATATAAGTTGACGTATTTTTGGTTCCAAATGCATGACAAATGTCCCTCTTTTTATATTAAAAAAAATATTCTTCAAAAATAAGAAAACAATACCTGTCACTTAAACCAAATGGCCGAAGGTCCAAAAGACCCCAAATGTCCTGACCAGGGTTAAATGTCCGTGAAATCACCTTGTGAATTTTTAGCATGACGCACACTTCTGTCTATTCCTGCGTCCTCCAGAGTGGACTAAACACATTCCTCCGACATTTTATCATCTGTGTTTTGAAGAAATTTCAAGACTGACTTTCTGCATATACCTATTAGGCCCAGAAGAAGCTCTGCCACTATTTCATTTCAGCAAACTTACAAAACAGATCGACTCACTGGATGAACATTTTCCAATATGATCTCCACCAGCTCCTGTTCTTGTGAACTCGTTGGCTTAGTTTTCATTCCAGGGACGCCACTAAAGGGTAATGGTGGCACTCCTTTTCGATTTTTCTCCAGTGCCTTTAATACCCTGAGATGCTGCTCAGGATGTATGTCACCGTGTCTACTCTCTCCTGGATCAATGGCTGTCTGTCGGATCGGCCCCCGGTTTGTGCAGCCGGGGAGCTCCCTCTCTGATGTGGTGGTTATTAACACAAGGATGCCACGGGGGACTGTCTTGTCTCCGTCTCTGTTCCCTCTGTACACCTCAGATTTGCAGTATAGCTCTGAATCATGCCCCCTGCTGAGGCTCTCTCATCACACTGCGACGGTGGGATCTATCAGACGCGGGCCTGAATCAGAGAAAAGGTGGATGGAGTGATGCAGCAGCAGCAGGAATCTGCTCCTACAAATAAACGAGACTATGGAGATGGTGAGTGATTCTAGGAGGATTGTAGGAACTGCAGCCATAAACATAATCAGTGATTAGGGTGGAAACGTTGAGCGCCGCAGTTACACAGATGCTGAGCAAGTGATGAGCAATCTGTGCTTTCTTAAGGCACTCAGATCTTTCAGTGTATAGAACATGATGCTAAAGACGTCCTACTAGTCTGTGGTAGTAAGTGCTGTGGACTGGAGGTGCCAGAGAAAAAGATCCAAGACGAGAATCATCACTGGAGGTCACTGAACTGACTGCTCTCTATTCAATCCAACACAGCCAGAATATATTGTGCATATTATTGGGTGCACACTTGTTATTGCTCCTTTTCTCTCTGATTCATTACTATTACCGCTTTTGATATACATATCCATATATATACCAATTTGTACATGATCTGATTTCAGTATTCAGTGTCTATCGTGGGGTAACACTTGCATAAAGACTATCTAACATCCCATTATGTGTTTAAATCACCTCCTGCTTTTGTAACACCGATTGAGCAGTACACGCTGAATGCAGGCTGATGAGTTCATTGTGTCCACCAGACGAATAAAAGCACATCTTATTAAATTTTGAACAAAACTGAGGTGAATCCTTCTGCCGTTTTCTCCTCACAGCATTAACTCACATTAGCAAGAAACTGCATTGTTTCAGCCTTTTATTCGCTATAATACGGGTCAGTAGAAAAATACAATAAAACACTGTTAATGACAGCTTCAGTGGTCTTTGCTAGCCATTAGAAACAGGGGGAATATAATTGATGTGAATGTGGGCTAAGAAATACTGTATTTTAAAGTAAGGAAACCCAATGAAAAGATAAAAAAAAGCAGCTATGGACTAATCAGAACTAATCAAACTAGCAAGCACTGTTCTTTAAAACATGCAAATGATGTGATGTGTTGTTTCTTTACATCAAACGGGACACTGTAGTTAATTTTTAGTCGATCCCACTTTGAGATACATGCTGTGTATGAATCCGCCACTGAAAATAGTCCCTGCTCGTTACACTATGTACTCCTGTTTGAGAGACATTTGCTTGAAGCTATGACGCCCATCCATCCATCCATCCATCCATCCATCCATCTGCTATACCTGCTTTATCCCATGGATAGTTGCGGGGGTGCTGGAGTCGGTCCGAGCTCGTACAGGGCGAAAGGCGGAGTACACCCTGCCAGTCCATCACAGGGCCAACACAGACAGACAGACAACCACTCACCCTCTCTATCCAATTAACCTACAGCCCAAAGCATGTCTTTGGGTTGTGGGAGAACGCCAGACCACCCGGAGGAAACCCACACAGGCACTGGGAGAACATGCAAACGGCACTCAGAGAGATTTGAACCCAGGACCTTGTAGCTGTGAGGAAACATACCAACCACTGCACCACGGCGGCCATCGTTTTTAAGACATGTGCTTTGCATTTTTTTAAAAGAATAAAACTCCACACTTGTGAGATTGGTTTAATTATTTATGTTGTCTGTTGGAGCTAATGCTCAGGACTGACTCAATGTTGATTTTGATGATTTGTTAAATGAAATACAAAGGTTTTTCATGACTTGTGCAGTGATTGAAAAGTAAGAAATCCTAACTAACCAAACTGCAGCAGTCTCTTTGCCCAACCAACACTTTGTCTGCAAACTTCTGCACTTTGCGAGTATTTGCAAGTAACTTTCAACTCGCGATAAAACCAAAGCTCTCTACTTTATGTATGTGGGTCACCGGCTGCAAAATTAAAGACCAACTCTAATAAGACTTTATTTTAATAAGATTTTTTTTCATTTTAAAAGCTGCAGAAATAGCAGCCAGTAGAAATAACCAGATGCAGTTTCATTTCTCAGATATTTGAATAGTCTCGGTCCCAGTGGCACAACTTCGACTCTCTAATATGAGCTGCGATGTCGAAATTGTGGAGTTCCTCTGGGTGAGTGTCTCTCACCTGGTAGTGCGTACTGAAGTGCTGGTCCTCCTGTACGATCTCCAGCTCTTTGCCTCCCCTCACCAAAACTGTCCTCACCCCTCGGCCCGCCAGGTGAGTGTGCAGCTGGGATGCAAATATGAAGATCCCTTCTGGAGGCAAAGCCTGAATAGGTCATCAAAAAAATACATGAAATATTCACCCAGCATTCCTAGCAGTTGAACCATAATGCCCGAAGTGATGGAGTTTTTACGTACAGTCTCGGTGCACTTGGACGTGCAGTAACCACTGAGGTAGAAGGCGTGTTGTTTGGGTGGGACGGCCATGATGGGAGTGTAAACGAGGCCCAGCTCCATGATCCCTCCGTCGTAATGCCTCAGACTGGGGGTGTAGTGCAGTCGTATCCCCGATGAGTCACGCCGGCCTGAATGAACAATACTTGTATTCAATAAGCAGCAAGTTCGCCAAAATTCTTTCACACTAAAGCAGACTTTGTATACATAAATGGAGGAATAATCAGTATATTTCAGGTGCTGTTTGTCGGCTAAAGCAACAGATCTCTGAAGGAGAATTACAACGTGAAGGAGGATTATAATAACAGAAACGTTTCGCAGGTGCATTGAGTGCACAATGTACTCTCTCCATCTGTTCCTGGTCAGCACGCATGCTGCTGTATTTTGGATATTTTCTAGTTTTGACAAGTCAGTTTAGCAGTTATCAGGACTTCTGAGAGGGGAAAAAAGTAAGTGCTGTAGTGTGGCATCGTTCCTGACATATTAAAATGTGATATTTCTGAGATGTGAATTTAAAACTTCAACCGAGAGAGACGGCTGAAGGGTTTCTTTTGCATCCTTGTTAGTTTAACTGCAGCAGAGGACCTTTGCTGCACATCGTCCCCATTTCTCTTCTCTTTTATTGCCTATTATCTCTGACCTTTAGACGCTCTGATAAAAAGGCATAAAATGCTGCAAAAACTACTTCAAAACAAGAAAACATCTCCCAAACAGAAGTGATGGAGCAGGAAAACAGAGGAGAGTTATGCGTATTTGCCTATTGTGAGGTCAGATCAGGATAAGGACGGCAGAGTGTGTGTGTAGTGACTCGTACAGAAGAGATCAAAAGGTATATCTGGAAAATGTTAAATGAATCGCTCTATTCAAGATAAGCCTGGGGCTCTTAGAGGGAGAATTCGGTTGCTTGTGTGAGTTAAAAAAGAGGGAAGTGTGTCTGTGTAGCAGTGTAGTCACAGTTCAAGTCATTTACATGCATTTGCACTGCATGTACCAGATATAAGGAGAGGGTTGTGGTAGTGGACCTCCAGACGAAGGAACCTTGAGGAACCTGGTCCACCAATTGGCAGCCCGGCGTCCGGAGGGTAGTAAAAAGCCTGCAAGCACACACACACACAGCCACACAGGTAGGACACATATGACTGATTATTGCTCTCATTAATGCGCCGCTGTTTTTAGATTATAGCAAAAAATGTTCTTTATAAATCATAGAGATGATTGGAACAGTAGAGTAAGAACATTTTTAGATTGAATCTCCACAGTGTGCTGCTGTATTTGGTATTGTGGTAGATAGAAGTGAGGAAGACTTCTACATGTAAACAAAGCTACTGTTGGAGTTTTACTGGGAGTTTGAATCACAGGTGTCTCCAGGAAAAAAACGCATTGTTGGAGAAAGACTAAAGAAAACATTCATCTGGACCCTCTCAAACTTCCTAAACAGCATCCCAAAAACATCCTGGGAACATTTTGAATGTTCCACCTTTATTAGTACTGGAATGTCTTAAAAATAATCTGTTATCTGAGTTGTCTGTAACATCTTGAAAATGTTTTTTAAACGTTGTTTTGAGAACATCCTTCCTTTGTCATCATGCAACTTTGTGAGAACGTCTCAAAGGAGAACGTTGTTTAATGACGTCTCTAAACAGCATCCTCAGAACATTTAAAGCAGAATGTTCCACCTTTGTTAATAGATCACACTAAAGCAGGAATTATCTGAGGCTTCGATAACATCAAGAGAACACTTTTTGAACATTGGTTTGGCAACCTTTCTACTTTGCATTTGTGCTCCTGACAACATCATCTGAATGCTGACATTAAAACATTATATTAACTTTACAAGAACAAAAATGGAAATGAACATATTCCTAAGACATTCTTTAAATGTTTGATTAATGCATTTTCCTTAAAAATAATATTGAAAACTTGTAGGTAATGTTATCCAGTGTTGTGGGAACATTTCCTGCCAGCTGGGATTGAATGACTTTTATATCAGAGGCTTATTCACCTTCGTAGTGCAGAAATGATAGATTCCTTTAGCTCTACTCATGTGGTTCGCTATAATTTTGGTTGATAGACTGCGTAACCACATGCTGCCATCCACCCATTCATTCATCTTTTAAACCTGCTTGGACCCCGGACACCCACAGAATGTAAAATCACAAATGCAACAGATTGTCTGAAAAGTCTAAAAAACAGGTTTCAAAACTGCTTCAACAGCACCAAACATCACCACACACCAGGTTCCTCTTTGTACAACCCTGAATGTTTTACGTGGATCTGTGAGCTGGCTCAAATGTTTATTGATCATTTCTATTTCTTCATTCTCATCCAGATGTATCCCCTGGGATGACATGACTTGTTCTGCTCCTCTGAACAACAACAACAAAAAGAATAAAATCCTGAGTCACTCCATGGTCATCAAGCTTCTGCAGGAATTTTAATGCAATCTTGATTCATCATCGCTGCCTTCCCTTTCTCTCAGAGATCCTCCTCAAGCCACTTCTGCTGATGCATGCTGTTTGTAATGGAAGAAAGAATTGTTTTATTTAATCTCGCTTTCATGTCGTCACAGTAAAATCCACCGAGACCTCTTCCCTTTCTCTGCTGCTGCTGCTGCCCTCCCTCTTTTACATTCTGACGGCGTCCTGCATTATTGTTTCTCTTCTCTCCCAAACTTGCTCCACTCTATTTTCCTCTTTCCCTTTTGTTTTGTGTGTTTTTTTGTTGTTGTTTTTTTTTTTGTTTTTTGTTTTTCTAGGGCCACGTTTCCCTTCTGATGCGGTGCCGAGGAGAATGAAGCAACACTATTAAGAGGTGATGAAAGAGGCCTGAATATTTCCCACCTAATCTTGTCTTCACAGCTCACAGCTCACAGAAGGCATCCTGCTTGTTTTTGTTTGGTTGGCAGATAATCCAATCGGAGAGGGGCCAGGCTGGCTGTGATACAGTGGGGAGCAGTGCAGAGAAATATGGTGACAGCCTCACCATTGCCTGTCCTCTTTGCTTTATGTGGTTAGCATGCTGCTTGCTCGCTCGCTCAGCCGGCTGCTTGCTCGCTGCAGTTTCTAAGTGGGGTGGCGACGCCTGACAGATGACTGAACGGCTTTTCTCATGAGCTTGCAGTTGCATTTTCTCCCTGCAAAAACGCATGTGTTTATTTCCCCCAAAATTAGCGAAGGAGAACGTGGAACTCCACTGATTTCCATTAGCTGAAAACAAAGGTGCATGCATTCACTGATCAATGCTGTAATTGTCTAGATTTTTTCTTAGTGTTGTCGCAGCCCAGTAGCTCACCTGTTAGACCATGTGTACCATCTACTAGGGCTTAGTCTTTATTGTAGTGGCCTTTTGTTTCATGTTCCTCTGCTTTCCAGTCTCTCCTCAGCTGTTCCTATATAGCAAATGTAAGAAAACCTAAAAAAAAATAGTCACTAATAGCAAACTTTTGTTCACTTATTACTGATTGGTTATTGGTGGAGCTACAGTTGGAATCTTAGAAATAATAAGGTCACGAATGCCTGTAACAACAAGGCAGCAGACACCAGTTAAAATTCAATATTTTTTTGTCAAATACATGGTAATACGTGATACTTTTTTTTTGGTAAAGCAGTTAAATATTTTTTTAGCCACTTGAGGGCAGCATACCAGATGAGCTGAACAACTTTTAGCTTTGGTTTGCTCAGAACTAACTCCCTAAAATGACCTCCAGTTGTGACCTTTGGGGCTTAAGTGCCCCAAAAATTGTAGTTCCTCTAACGGCCACTTGAGGCTGATTCCAAAAGTGAGTAAATCCTCACTGACCCTCGTGTTAAAATTAACAACTTCACAGCAGAAATAAACCTGTTTACAGCCATTTAGGTCTCTATAGGTAAGCCCCCGGTTCACTACAACTGCACAGGGGGTGAAGTTTGATATCACTCACCTGTTTTAATTGTTTAAAGGTTTAAATTGACTTAAAGCACAATTAAGGGCATGGGCACAGGTCGGTGTCATTATAGGAAAATCCATGCTCCAGAGAATCGCCCACCTCAACTCCACTCGTTCTCTATCGCTGTCATTGAGTTTGGTTGTTACGTCCTGTTTTATTTTGAAATGATTCCTGTCCTTGTGTGTCTGGTATAATTACTTCCTGTTTTCCCTCCTCTGTGATTGCCCTCATTAGCTTCACCTGTGTGTTGTGACTCACCTGTGACTTGTCTCCCCAATTATTCCCTCTGTATAAATAGTCCTGCATCTGTTTGCTCTTGTTGGTTTCCCTCCTGTTTGATCATGTTCTGGTTCTTCTCCATGCTCCTCTGGTTTGTGTTTTTTGTTTTGTTGTGAGTTTTTGGATTTAGTTTTTCTGGATTACCTCCTTCATTTTTGGATGTATTTTTCCCTGGATTACCAGCCGCCTTCCCTTCGTTCACCTGTACACCCCAGTAAGTTTGTTCTTTTCTACAACCTACCTGCTTTGTTGGCACTTAGGTTTTATTCTGATGAACTCTGGTGACCTCTTTGCTAATTGTTGGATTAGTTAACAGTCAGGCACTGCCAAGATGGCGACAACCAGACCCACCACAGTCCGCTCTTTAGCTGCTGAATGTTCCACAATATTCACATTTTGTATTTGTTTTGGAAACAGCTGCTTTCTAAAGCGGATGAGATTGAAGGTTGTGGGCATTAGCTGAGAGAAACTACAGGTTGTAATTTTGAGGTTTTCTCATTGCAAACATCATTTTTCACATTACTTTAATATTAAAATATTAGTAGTTCAACTTCAACTATACAGACTAGTGACAAATTAAAAGAAAACCTGAACCTTTGACCCCTAATGTGAGGGGACCTGGTTGGTCTTTTATGCTGTAGGGGCCACAGAGTTGTTCAGAGTCATGATCTGTATCCCTTGATGAAACATTTACAGTGTATCCTGATGGGAGTGGTCTCATTCATAGGTCACGAGGGGTCGCTGAATGGTTTAGAAATCATATTCTACGGCCTTTGGAGACACCAGATCTTCCATCCATCCATTATCTATACACCACTTAATCCTAACTCGGGTCACCAGTCTATCACAGGGCTACACTTAGAGACAGACAACCAAGCACACTCACATTCACACCTACGGACAATTTAGAATCACCAATTAATTCTGGACTGTGGGAGGAAGAACCCGGAGAGAACCCACGCTGCACGGGGAGAACATGGAGACTCCACGCAGAAAACTCCCGGGTGTCCTCACCGGGACGCGAACCGGCGACCTTCTAGCTGCGAGGCAACAGTGCTGACCACCGAGCCACTTTGCAGCCCACACCAGATCTTAACACAACTAAATACATATGATAGATTTTAGGCTGACTTGTTAGAAAGCCGTCATTTAAAATGAGGGAGTATCTTTTAGAAGAACAGCTCCTCCTGTAGAGTTCTAGAGACCTGGAGGATCAATTCCAAGGAGCATAGAAGCTGTTTTTGTGGCACACAATGTTGGTTTTTCTAAGAATCTAAGAGTTCAGAAATCCTCAGCTGAATACATCACCATCAGATTATGCAAAAGCCAAAAACCCACTGTGGACAAAACCTCTGTGTCCCCAGTGGAAGCTCTGTTTACCGGTTTGTCTGGAAGTTGACTTTGCAAGCAGCAGCTTGGACAATAATATCAGCTATGATGAAATCTTTTGTGTCCCTACCGATGTAGAAACGCATGCAGTTTTCCTTTGTGTTTTTTTTTTTCTTCGTGCGTTTGTTTCCATGTAAACAAGTTTCTGAATATGTGTGTGTGTGTGAGTGCATCCCACATACAGACTGTCTCCGAGCTCTTAATAGACATGTGCAGTGTGTGGGATCATCTTTTCAACGTTTTATGTTCGCAGTTTTAGACTCGTATATTACCAGCGTAGGAGTGTTTGTTTATCTCTTATAATAGGTACAAGGACTGGACCCAAGTCAAGCATAATCCCAACTCTCCCTTTCAATTATCACCGAGTGTATTAAAAACCTTCACCGTGCTCATGGCTACTCTTCTTTATCTGATGGGGTTTCGTGTGGGTGCTTCTCTATTTTTGTTAGAGTAACTTTAAGTCTTTTGCCAATTCTGGATGATTGTTCCAATTTTTAGTTTTTGCATCACAAAGTTTATATTCAGGTGAGGTTAAAAGTAAGAGGATGTGTGTTTCCTGTCCTACCTCGGCCCCCATGGCCCACGCGGCCAGCACATGGCGGCAGAAGTTGAGCTTTCCCGGCTTCATCTTGTCGTCACAGGGGCCGCTGTAGTCCGGAACCTCGGGGATGTCCGGAGAACATTCGAAGACTTCCATGTGGTGCACGATGGCCTCGTTACCTGGAGTTATCACCGACTCGTACTGACGGGAGCAGAGACAGAGCAGAGAAGTTGCTTTTATGTTTTTTTTTACTGCTGCAAGACTTGTTAACATTGGGTTATTCCATTATTTAGCATGTTCAAAATGGGATCTGTGAAGTTTCAGATCGATGTATCGAGTAGTTTTCAGGATATTTGTTTTTTAAAAATGCTTTTTGGCTCACTTTCAGTAGGTTGTTTTTCACGTGTTTAAATGACAGTGTCAGGAAGATGTAAGCCTGAAATGAAAAATATGCCTATAATAAAAAACATACTTTCTTAGATATATTTGGAGAAGCATTCTGAAGCTGTGTTGGATTAGGCGATCTGCCAAAAGTCAAAACTGGTCAATTAGTGATGAAAGTTGAATGAAAATAACCAAACTGCTTCTATATGGTTTGTTTTGTATTATTGTGACATGCAGCTACTTATGGTTCAGAAAACATTACTAGTTGACTTCCTTTTTATTTTTTGTTGGTGTGCTCATTGATGGGACTTTTCATTGCAGCTTCAATATTTTTTCATAATTCAACTCACCCATAATCAATTAACTTATTTGACCTACTTGTCTAATATTCTGATCAATGATATGAGTAATAACAGGCTTTTATCTTTATTAGTTCCTGAGATGCTGATGCTTGATCGTAGCTTCGAGTTTAAATGTGTATTAAATTGAAAATGACTCGAGTTAATAATGACTTAATAAAACCTGCAAAGTATTTGAATATAAAGCTAAAATGTCCTGTTTTATTTAATGATTATCAGTATTTTGTGCTGCAGGAACTTCTGCCAAATCTGAGCTTGATGAGCAGAAATTGTTGTGATGATTTCAGATGGAGTGACCTTCGGTGGAACTGCTACCCGAGTGAAAAAATAAGGAAGGAGGTGAAGTTTTTTTTTTGTCGTGTTGATATATTTGCTTGTATTTGCTCTTTGTAACCATGACAATGCAGCTGATGTTTTGTTTGGCCTCGCTGCACAACAAGAGGCAATAATAGCTGCCTGTGAACGCTCTCCATCTGAAACACCCACTGCTGTGTGTAAATACACTGTATGTTAAGTGTTTCCATTTTTAGAGGCCTTTGTACCATAACAATGTGGTTCTTGGTCATAGTTTCAGGCAGCCTGTGGATGAAGCACCAGTAGGTGGTCTCTTGATTCGGTATGGTGACATTCGGTGCCACCACATCCCTCGTCTGCACGTCTGGAGGCAGCGTGGGCGGCGGCGTGTCGGGACGAAGCATCAGGACTCTCTGCAGCCCCGTGTGGATCCGGGACAGGTTCAGCTGCTCCAGAGAGGTAAGACGCTGCTCCAGGAAGCCGTAGATGACGTGCACGGTTCCCTCCTGAAGAACCAGAACAAGCAGAGAGGAAAGGGCGTTCAAAGGCTACGGAGAATCGACATTTCAAATCCTCTCATAATTATTATTTGCTCGAAACGCCTTCTGAGACAAACACGGAGAACTTTTCATTATGTTGTCATAGTGATGAGCATTGGTTTTTGTGTCTGCGACTTAGAAAATCTAATGTGGTACCATGGAAACCATAATCACTGTAATAGAGTGGAGACTGTGCTGATCATTTCAACTTTCAGAGGATTTTTCACGTCCACACCTGAAAGCACGAGTTGATCATCACTTTCATTGCTTTAAATAAATAAAATACTCAAAAGACAGGCGTAAAAATACCTTAAATTCGCAGGTACACACACGGACAGTCTCACACCGTGTCGTTTTTGCGTTACATACATGTGCCAAGTCAAAAATACTGTCTCCCCCCCACCTTCCGCCCCTCTTATTTCCTTCTCCTCGCCACCTGTTAGCTGTCAAGCTCAGCCAGTCGAGGATTGACAGACGTTATTTTGGCTTGAGGCCACAAGCGACATTTAGCACAACAAGTGTGCCCTTTGCATGGGCTCCAGAGGAAAACAAATCTTGCTGTCGAATGTTATTTATAGAGCACCTTTTGTACAGATTAGTGCAGTTCAAAGTTTGTTACAGGTGATAAATGAGTAAAACAACAAGCAGGTAAACCGGTAAAACAATAGGAGGAAGACGAATGCAGCCATGAATCACTTCAGACACTAAAGTTAAAATAACAAGAGCTTGCTTTTTTCTTAACTTTGTGCAGGATATCCAGCACAGCAGCCTTAACATATAGAAGATTTTTTTTTTT